TTTGTGTGTGTGTGTCTCTCTCTCTCCATGCCTCTCTTTGTCTCTCTATTTGTGCCTCTCTCTAGCCGTATTTCTCTGTATCTTGTGTGTGTGTGTCTCTCTCTCTCTCCGTGCCTTTCTTTGTCTCCCTATCTGTGCCTCTCTCTAGCCGTGTTTCTCTGTCTCTTGTGTGTGTGTCTCTCTCTCTCCATGCCTCTCTTTGTCTCTCTATTTGTGCCTCTCTCTAGCCGTATTTCTCTGTCTCTTGTGTGTGTGTGTCTCTCTCTCTCTCCGTGCCTTTCTTTGTCTCCCTATCTGTGCCTCTCTCTAGCCGTGTTTCTCTGTCTCTCAGTATGTGAGGCGTTTCCTGTTGTTTGTATATGATCGACAAACCAGTGATTGATACCACGAACAACATCCCACGCCGTCAGCATTCGCTGCTGGGGCTCCGTTCTAACTCGATGTCCCCACGGTAAAGGGGCGTCCTGTTAGGATTTACTCTCTGGCGTAAAGCGACTCAAAAACATTTCGTAAGCGTAACATCGGCTTAAATGATATGGTAATAATTAACGTAAAACGATGATGAAAAACAAGTACTGCTAAGAGTGAACATTGATGAAGTGAAGGGAAATGGGGTCTGAGGTCACGTTCAAGATTTTTTAACTCATGTTTTGTTTGTTTGTTGTTTAACACCGCACTCAGCAATTTTCCAAGTTATATAGCGGCGGGCTGTAAATAATTGAATCTGGACCAGACAATCCAGTGATTGACATTACAAGCATCAATCCACGCTGTTCCCATACGATGACATGCATCAACCAAATCAGCGAGCCTGACCACCCGATCACGTCGGTCGCCTCTTATTGCAAGCATAGTCGCCATTTTCGGCAAGCATGGGTTGATCAAGATCAATTCAACGCGGATCTTCAAGGGTCTTTCACTCATGTAGCGACTTGCATTCACGTATCAGGAATGATTTGAGGAAGACAAGTCTTATTTTGAATCATACAACTATATTAAATTGAATGTCATCAGGACTGCATAGGACAGCAATCAAGGCAAGTTCATCCCCAGGCACAGTAGCCAGCGTTCTGCGCATCATCGGTCCCTCTGTAGACCCTGATAGCTTCGGCTCTGCGACCTGGAATGTACACCCGCCGTAGACATTTATACAGGTTAAATCAACCACGTGTCCTCTCTTTCAGATTCAGGAGCACTAGTGAGTGAGTGAGTATGGTTTTACGCCGCTTTTAGCAATATTCCAGCAATATCACGGCGGGGGACACCAGAAATGGGCTTCACACATTGTACCCATGTCGGGAATCGAACCCGGGTCTTCGGCGTGACGAGCGAACGCTTTAACCACTAGGCTACCCGACCGCCACTCAGGAGCACTAAAATGGAAATATATATGTAGATCCGTGACATTACATCGTATTCGTTTCCCACTTATGTAATTGCAAATTTGGTACTTGCGGTAAAATAGCGGACCATTAACCTCAAATTTTTAGCGCAACTGCATCAAAAAATGTTATAATGCTGAAAATGAATACGAACGCGATGTTGAGCTTTGAATTGTTGAACGATACACGGACCTCTGTGGAACCCAATAACAGCCAACACTGACATAATTTTACTCCATTGCAATCACACTGACCTCTACTGTTCTGTACACATAGCGTTTCCCTCTCAAGAGTCTGTTTATTGGCAGATACTGAAGACTTGTACACGTACTTATAACCCCGCGTTTTGCACGTGAAAACCATACCAATCCGGTTTCATTACACTCAGCTGAACCGGTTACAGACTGGAGTCACATATTTCTTTTAAGTAAGAATAATTTAACTCTTAGAATTCGTTTGTGGCGGGTTATACGCCAGGGAAAACATGCCTCCGAGGTTTGGGCTGAAAAAGTAAACACGGGAGAGAGGAAATGTTTCATGAAAATCGACTGAACCGTTTACAGACTGGCGTCATATATTTCGTTTTCAGACAAGAGAAGTTAGCGTTTCGAGTTTGTTTGTGGCGGCTTTATAAGCCACAGTAAGAAACTTTCCCCCGGTTTCAGTTCAAAATGTAAACATTCGCGGTCAAGAAAAGTGATGTTACCCCGTGGTATAGTTTCCCCAGTACATCTTTCAAAACGTTGTTACCCCGTGGTATAGTTTCCCCGGGACATCTGTCAAAACGTTGTTACCCCGTGGTATAGTTTTCCCGGGACATCTTTCCCTAACATTGTATGTCCCTGTCGAGTTTCCCGCGTAAACTTTCCCTATCCTTGTTACCTATTGGTATAGTTTCTCGGTATAGCTTTCCCTAACGCTGTTACCTTTGGGTATAGTTCCTCGGTATAGCTTTCCTTAACGTTGTTACCTTTTGGTATAGTTTCTCGGTATAGCTTTCCTTAACGTTGTTACCTTTTGGTATAGTTTCTCGGTATAGCTTTCCCTAACGTTGTTACCCCGTGGTATAGTTTCTCGGTATAGCTTTCCCTAACGTTGTTACCTTTTGGTATAGTTTCTCGGTATAGCTTTCCCTAACGTTGTTACCTTTTTGTTTCCCTGTATAACTTTCACTAACGTTGTTACCCCTTGGTATAGTTTCTCTTTATAGCTTTCCCTAACGTTGTTACCTATTGGTATAGTTTCTCGGTATAGCTTTTCCTAACGTTGTTACCCCTTGGTATAGTTTCTCGGTATAGCTTTCCCTAACGTTGTTACCCCTGGGTATAGTTTCTCGGTATAGCTTTCCCTAACGTTGTTACCTTTTGGTATAGTTTCTCGGTATAGCTTTCCCTAACGTTGTTACCCCTTGGTATAGTTTCTCGGTATAGCTTTCCCTAACGTTGTTGCCCCGTGGTATAATATTTCGGTATAGCTTTCCCAAACATTGTTACTCCAGGTCGATTTTCCCGAGTAAAACTTTCCCTATTGTTTTTACCCTTTGGTATAGTTTCTCGGTATAGCTTTCCCAAACATTGTTACTCCAGGTCGATTTTCCCGAGTAAAACTTTCCCTAATGTTGTTACCTTTTGGTATAGTTTCCCTGTATAACTTTCCCTAACGTTGTTACCCCTGGGTATAGTTTCCAGGTATAGCTTTACCTAACGTTGTTACCCCTGGGTATAGTTTCCCTGTATACCTTTCCCTAACGTCGTTACCCCTGGGTATAGTTTCCCTGTATAACTTCCCCTAACGTTGTTACCCCTGGGTATAGTTTCCCTGTATAACTTTCCCTAACGTTGTTACCCCTGGGTATAGTTTCCAGGTATAGCTTTACCTAACGTTGTTACCCCTGGGTATAGTTTCCCTGTATACCTTTCCCTAACGTCCTTACCCCTGGGTATAGTTTCCCTGTATAACTTTCCTAACGTCGTTACCCCTGGGTATAGTTTCCCTGTTTAACTTTCCCTAACGTTGTTATCCCTGGGTATAGTTTCCAGGTATAGCTTTACCTAACGTTGTTACCCCTGGGTATAGTTTCCCTGTATACCTTTCCCTACCGTCGTTACCCCAGGGTATAGTTTCCCTGTATACCTTTCCCTAACGTCGTTACCCCTGGGTATAGTTTCCCTGTATAACTTTCCCTAACGTTGTTACCCCTGGGTATAGTTTCCAGGTATAGCTTTACCTAACGTTGTTACCCCTGGGTATAGTTTCCCGGTATACCTTTCCCTACCGTCGTTACCCCTGGGTATAGTTTCCCTGTATAACTTTCCCTAACGTTGTTATCCCTGGGTATTGTTTCCCGGTATAACTTTCCCTAACGTTGTAACCCCTGGGTATAGTTTCCCGGTATAGCTTTCCCTAACGTTGTGACACCTGGGTATAGTTGCCCGGTATAGCTTTCCCTAACGTTGTTACCCCTGGGTATAGTTTCCCGGTATATCTTTCCCTAATGTTGTCACCCATGAGTATAGTTTCCCGGTATAACTTTCCCTAACGTTGTTATCCCTGGGTATAGTTTCCCGGTATAACTTTCCCTAACGTTGTTACCCCTGGGTATAGTTTCCCGGTATAACTTTCCCTAACGTTGTTATCCCTGGGTATAGTTTCCCGGTATAACTTTCCCTAACGTTGTTATCCCTGGGTATAGTTTCCCGGTATAACTTTCCCTAACGTTGTTACCCCTGGGCATAGTTTCCAGGTACATCTTTCCCTAATATTGTTATACCTGATAAAGTGTCCCCGGTTTAGCTTTCCCTAACATGTTATTTTATGGTATAGATTCACGGTATAGCTTTCACAAATATTGTTACTTGATAGTATAGTTTACCGGTATAGCTTTCACTAATATTGTTATCCCTGGGTATAGTTTCCCGGTATAACTTTCCCTAACGTTGTGACCCCTTGGTATAGTTTCCAGGTACTTCTTTCCCTAACATTGTTACCCCTGGGTATAGTTTCCAGGTACATTTTTCCCTAACATTGTTACCCCTGGGTTTATTTTCCCCGGTTAATCTTTCCTTTCTCCTGAATTCAGTACAGACATGTCACCTTCGTTCAAAACCTAAATGCAATAGCTTCATAGATATAGAAATTTAATATATGTTGATTTCATTTTAATCAAATATATATGGTTGTCCCGGAATTAATATACACTGAAGCTCGCGGGATGAACTCGGCCATCTGTGGAGCCTGGATCAATTGCAGACGAAATGAGTGTAATGATATATTTCGTATATATTGCTAATGCTAATGACAATAGGGCTGACCAACAGTTGACCAGGCATGTTATTTGACATGAAATGCAACTTGGGGTATTATTTGTGAGTACGCTGCTTTAATTTCAAAATACATTTATTAAAATTGCACACAAAGCTAACACTAAAAGACCTTTTTTCATGATGCGCTTCATTAGAATTAACATTCAGTGGGATAGACAACATCTTGTCAAATATACGAGATGAATATAACAGTCGTATTTATAACAAAGCCATGGCAGGGTCACGTGATTTCCTCAGTCACAATGTGGGCCTCTGCTATAAAGGGTTAACGAGACTATACGTGAATCACATGCCAGCCCACCTCACTAGCTCTTCGCTGTGCTGTTTGTTTGCATCGATACCTAAATCAGTATAATGGCTGCGACGCTAGGCAAGTGGCAGTGCTGCCCTGAGCTCACGACGGGATTCGCGGACTTTATGGACGCTATCGGTGAGTGGTTATTATCATAACTGTTTTGTTAATTTTTTAAAGATTGAAAATATGTTTAATATATCATCGTCACTTTTAACATGAATTAATCATGTTAAATTGCCTATATTTCAAATATAATTTCGGCGTTTTATAGGTACAGTTTATCAACACAAAATATCCAACTTAAACATAATTAAAAATCTGAAAAGGACCTGAATTCCTATAAACGCTATAGCTCTACTATATTTTACGCGGATAAGGCCTGCTGGCGAACATCTTCAGGCGAATGTCAACGTGTGAATTACAACGGTACAGTACACTCTGGAGAGTTGGAAACATACATAAAACGACAGAGAGGGTAAATTTCACTTTTTTATTTCGTGACAAGCGTTTGGATTATTAAAAAAAACGGTGCAATAATCTTTTTTTACAAGAAACGAAACGACTGTTTTAGATAAAACTTCGGATAAATGACACAGAGGCAATCATGACGGTGGTTACAGGATACAGGTTGGATGATGCATATATGCTTTAAAATATTACATAATGCCAAAAAATTACATCATCCGAAAATAAGCCAGCAGGTTATTGGGCTATTTATAACGTCAAAAGATGTTGGAAATGTTATGTAATGGCATGTCGACTGACTCACAATGTCCCGTCGTGTTGTGCGTGGTGTGTGTGGGCCTAGAAAACAACGAGTGAACTTGAGTCAATATTCAGGCAAGTTGTTATGGTGGAAGAACGGGATAACAAACAGGTTTCACTCTGACGCTCGACAAATCATGTGAGCTCAGTTCGTCTGCCTGGAACTTAGATAGAGGACACAACATTTCCCCAACACCGACCTGACATGGCCGCGTAGTGTCAACAAGGCCACTGCCCCGTCAACGACAGCAGGTAGGAATCCCCGTAATAGGTGATAGCGTTCATAGGGATGCATTTTTGAAAATGAATTTGGTTTTCATTAACCAAGATTAAGGTATTTTAATTATCTAGGTTGTGAAAATAATCCCGATAAAGTTGAAATCTGGAAAACAAATTCATACATTTTTTTAACAAATTTCCAGATTTGTGTTTTGACTTGATCCGACATCTTCCCGAGGCAAGCGTTTCCACATACCTGTATCAAATCTTAGTTTCTGTTTTCGATACGAGACTTTGATAAATGGCTAGTGGACGCTCTTGCCTCTGGAAGATGTTGATCCGACTGCTCGGATATGGTGTGGTGCCCAAGTCGTCTAAGGCGCCGCGATTCCCTGTGCAGAGTTGCGTCCCTTGGGCACACCAGAAACCTATGATTGTGGGTTCGAATCACCGGTTCGCCACGATTATGGTTCTAGGTTTGTCAGCACCATACCCGTGCTCGTGGATTTCACCGAAGTGGTAAACGTCTGAGACCTGCATCACTTCGGGCTTTCCTCCCACTTTAAGCTGACACGCCGGAATACTATTAAAAGCGGCGTTAAACCCAACGCACTCTCTCACTCGTATGTGTGATGGTACTTAGCAGATATCTTTATTTCTACCGCTACTTTTTCGGGGGAGTTCAGTCTAACGTGAATACTTGACCGGGAGAGTTTCTCAGTGAATTTAAATAAGATAGATACTTTAGCCTCACTGACATTCGTGTCTGCAAGTATAGTTTGCATCCAGTTTGCTAGATTTGCCGTGGTCTTAATGTAGCAGCCATCTCCCCTCGCTCACACCAACTTTGCTAGTCTTGCCCTGGTCTTAATCTTGCAGAGATCTCCCCTCGCTCACATCCAGTTTGCTAGGCTTCGTCCCGGTCTTAATCTAGCAGTGATCTCCCCTCGCTTACATCCAGGTTGCTAGGCTTGCCCTGGTCTTAGCCTAGCAGAGATCTCCCCTCGCTTACATCCAGGTTGCTAGGCTTGCCCTGGTCTTAATCTAGCAGAGATCTCCCCTCGCTCACATCCAGTTTGCTAGACTTGCCCTGGTCTTAATGAAGCAGAGATCTCCCCTCGCTTACATCCAGTTTGCTAGGCTTGCTCTGGTCTTAATGTAACAGCGATCTCCCCTCGCTTACATCCAGTTTGCTAGGCTTCGTCCTGGTCTTAATGTAGCAGAGATCTCCCTTCGCTTACATCCAGGTTGCTAGGCGTGTCCTGGTCTTAATCTAGCAGAGGTCTCCCCTCGCTTACACCCAGGCTGCTAGGCGTGCCCTCGTCTTAATGTAACTGCGATCTCCCCTCGCTTACATCCAGGTTGCTAGGCTTGCTCTGGTCTTAATCTAGCAGAGATCTCCCCTCGCTTACATCCAGGTTGCTAGATTTGCCGTGGTCTTAATGTAGCAGCCATCTCCCCTCGCTCACACCCAGTTTGCTAGTCCTGCCCTGGTCATAATGTAACAGCGATCTCCCCTCGCTTACATCCAGTTCGCTAGGCTTCGTCCTGGTCTTAATCTAGCAGAGATCTCCCCTCGCTTACATCCAGGTTGCTAGGCGTGTCCTGGTCTTAATCTAGCAGAGATCTCCCCTCGCTTACATCCAGGCTGCTAGGCTTGCCCTGGTCTTAGTCTAGCAGAGATCTCCCCTCGCTTACATCCAGGTTGCTCGGCTTGCCCTGGTGTTTATCTAGCAGCGGTCTTACCTCACGCTTACATCAACTTTGCTAGAATTGCAGTGGTTTAAATCTTGCAGCGATCGTCCTCTCGTAACAAATGTTATATTTGGGATAACACTTTCTGAGTAAAGTACAGATTCTCGTACCTTTTTGGGTTGAGTCCCGTCCAAAATTCGAACCCACACTGCCAGAGTAAGGCACCTAGTTGCCAGCGCACAAAGTCAGCGATCTAACCCACTCAGCCACCGAGGCTTCCACAAAAATGAAAGTCCCACAACATTACTGGTAGTCTAGATCACGTACTTTGTGTACCCCTCTGACAAGTGTAAATCTGTACTTTAGTGTAATCCCAAATGTAACATTTGTTACCTCTGACCACTTTCTAAATGGCATTGTGTGTTGATCGTCCTCTCGTTTACATCAAATTTGCGAGACTTGTCCTGGTCTAAATCTAGTAATGATCTTCTTCTTGGTTAAACACAGACTTGCTCTGGTCTAAATACAGCTTCGGTCTCCCTCTCTCTTACACTCGGATTGGTAAACTTGCCCGAGTCTATATCTAGCATCGGTCTCCTCTCGCTTAAACAAATTTCCAAGACGTGACGTGGTGTAGATATAGCATCGATCTTCCATCAAGGAATCAAGGTTGCTAGACTTGATCAATTGTACATACTAATAAATCTCGATTGATAATATGGCCGTTTAATCTGGAGACGAATCGAATCTAATTTCTGGCGGTTTTGTTTTATAACAGGGGCATTGGATGAAGAGCGGAAGGCATCCCAGGGTTCGCCATTCACAATGGAGATGTCCCGTGACGGTGACACTTGGGACGTGGACGTGTTTTACCCAAACAACGCAGCTTTCTCCCGGAAATACTCGTTTAAGTCCGGCGTGGAGTTCAACTACCCCGGACACTCCCCTGGCCACGCAGTGACGGTAGGTAGACGTTCCCCTGGCCACACAGTGTCCGTAGGTAGACGTTCCCCTGGCCACGCAGTGACTGTAAGTAGACGTTCCCCTACCCACACAGTGACTGTAAGTAGATGTTCCCCTAGCCACACAGTGACTTTAAGTAGATGTTCCCCTAGCCACGCAGTGACTGTAAGTAGACGTTCTCCTGGCCACACAGTGACTGTAAGAAGACGTTCCCCTAGCCACTCAGTGACTGTAAGTAGACGTTCCCCTAGCCACACAGTGACTGTAAGTAGATGTTCCCCTAGCCACGCAGTGACTGTAAGTAGATGTTCCCCTAGCCACACAGTGACTCTAAGTAGATGTTCCCCTAGCCACACAGTGACTGTAAGTAGACGTTCTCTTGGCCGCGCAGTGACTGTAAGTAGATGTTCCCGTGGCCACACAGTGACTGTAAGTAGACGATCCCATAGCCACACAGTGACTGTAAGTAGATGTTCCCCTAGCCACAAGTGACTGTAAGTAGACGTTCTCCTGGCCACACAGTGACTGTAAGTAGACGTTCTCCTGGCCACACAGTAACTGTAAGTAGACGTTCTCCTGGCCACACAGTGACTGTAAGTAGACGTTCCCCTAGCCACACAGTGACTGTAAGTAGATGTTCCCCTAGCCACACAGCGACTGTAAGTAGATGTTCCCCTAGCAACACAGTGACTGTAAGTAGATGTTCCCCTAGCCACACAGTGACTTTAAGTAGATGTTCCCCTAGCCACGCAGTGACTGTAAGTAGACGTTCTCCTGGCCACACAGTGACTGTAAGAAGACGTTCCCCTAGCCACTCAGTGACTGTAAGTAGACGTTCTCCTGGCCACACAGTAACTGTAAGTAGACGTTCCCCTAGCCACACAGTGACTGTAAGTAGATGTTCCCCTAGCCACACAGTGACTGTAAGTAGACGTTCCCCTGGCCACACAGTGACTGTAAGTAGACGTTCTCCTGGCCACGCAGTGACTGTAAGTAGACGTCCCGCTAGCCACACAGTGACTGTAAGTAGATGTTCTCCTGGCCACACAGTGACTGTAAGTAGATGTTCCCCTAGCATTACAGTGACTGTAAGTAGACGTTCTCCTGGCCACACAGTGACTGTAAGTAGACGTTCCCCTAGCCCCACAGTGACTGTAAGTAGACGTTCCCCTAGCCACACAGTGACTGTAAGTATACGTTTTCCTGGCCACACAGTGACTTTAAGTAGACGTTCCCCTGACCACACAGTGACTGTAAGTAGACGTTCTCCTGGCCACACAGTGACTCTAAGTAGACGTTCCCCTAGCCACACAGTGACTGTAAGTAGAAGTTCCCCTAGCCACACAGTGACTGTAAGTAGACGTTCCCCTAGCCACACAGTGACTGTAAGTAGACGTTCCCCTAGCCACACAGGGGCTGTAAGTAGATGTTCCCCTAGCCACACAGTGACTGTAAGTAGATGTTCCCCTGGCCACACAGTGACTGTAAGTAGACGTTCCCCTGGCCACGCAGTAATAGTAAGGGGACGTTCTCCTGGCCACACAGTGACTGTAAGTAGACGTTCCCCTAGCCACACAATGACTGTAAGTAGATGTTCCCCTAGCCACACAGTGACTGTAAGTAGATGTTCCCCTAGCTACACAGTGACTGTAAGTAGACGTTCCCGTGGCCACACAGTGACTATAAGTAGACGTTCCCCTAGCCACAGAGTGACTATAAGTAGACTTTCTCCTGGCCACACAGTGACTGTAAGTAGACGTTCCCCTAGCCACACAGTGACTGTAAGTAGACGTTCTCCTGGCCACACAGTGACTGTAAGTAGACGTTCCCCTAGCCACACAGTGACTGTAAGTAGATGTTCCCCTAGCCACACAGTGACTGTAAGTAGACGTTCTCCTGGCCACACAGTGACTGTAAGTAGACGTTCCCCTAGCCACACAGTGACTGTGAGTAGATGTTCCCCTAGCCACACAGTGACTGTAAGTAGACGTTCCCCTGGCCACACAGTGACTGTAAGTAGACGTTCTCCTAGCCACGCAGTGACTGTAAGTAGACGTTCCCCAAGCCACACAGTGACTGTAAGTAGACGTTCCCCTAGCCACACAATGACTGTAGAATACGTTCCGCTAGCCACACAGTGACTGTAAGTAGATGTTCCCCTAGCCACACAGTGACTGTAAGTAGACGTTCCCGTGGCCACACAGTGACTGTAAGAAGACGTTCTCCTGGCCACGCAGTGACTGTAAGTAGACGTTTTCCTGGCCACACAGTGACTGTAAGTAGACGTTCCCCTAGCCACACAGTGATGTGAAGTAGACGTTCTCCTGGCCACATAGAGACTGTAAGTAGACGTTCCCCTAGCCACACAGTGACTATAAGTAGACGTTCCCCTAGCCCCACAGTGACTGTAAGTAGACGTTCCCCTAGCCACACAGTGACTGTAAGTATACGTTTTCCTGGCCACACAGTGACTTTAAGTAGACGTTCCCCTGACCACACAGTGACTGTAAGTAGACGTTCTCCTGGCCACACAGTGACTCTAAGTAGACGTTCCCCTAGCCACACAGTGACTGTAAGTAGACGTTCCCCTAGCCACACAGTGACTGTAAGTAGACGTTCCCCTAGCCACACAGTGACTGTAAGTAGACGTTCCCCTAGCCACACAGGGGCTGTAAGTAGATGTTCCCCTAGCCACACAGTGACTGTAAGTAGATGTTCCCCTGGCCACACAGTGACTGTAAGTAGACGTTCCCCTGGCCACGCAGTAATAGTAAGGGGACGTTCTCCTGGCCACACAGTGACTGTAAGTAGACGTTCCCCTAGCCACACAATGACTGTAAGTAGATGTTCCCCTAGCCACACAGTGACTGTAAGTAGATGTTCCCCTAGCTACACAGTGACTGTAAGTAGACGTTCCCGTGGCCACACAGTGACTATAAGTAGACGTTCCCCTAGCCACAGAGTGACTATAAGTAGACTTTCTCCTGGCCACACAGTGACTGTAAGTAGACGTTCCCCTAGCCACACAGTGACTGTAAGTAGACGTTCTCCTGGCCACACAGTGACTGTAAGTAGACGTTCCCCTAGCCACACAGTGACTGTAAGTAGATGTTCCCCTAGCCACACAGTGACTGTAAGTAGACGTTCTCCTGGCCACACAGTGACTGTAAGTAGACGTTCCCCTAGCCACACAGTGACTGTGAGTAGATGTTCCCCTAGCCACACAGTGACTGTAAGTAGACGTTCCCCTGGCCACACAGTGACTGTAAGTAGACGTTCTCCTAGCCACGCAGTGACTGTAAGTAGACGTTCCCCAAGCCACACAGTGACTGTAAGTAGACGTTCCCCTGGCCACACAATGACTGTAGAATACGTTCCGCTAGCCACACAGTGACTGTAAGTAGATGTTCCCCTAGCCACACAGTGACTGTAAGTAGACGTTCCCGTGGCCACACAGTGACTGTAAGAAGACGTTCTCCTGGCCACGCAGTGACTGTAAGTAGACGTTTTCCTGGCCACACAGTGACTGTAAGTAGACGTTCCCCTAGCCACACAGTGATGTGAAGTAGACGTTCTCCTGGCCACATAGAGACTGTAAGTAGACGTTCCCCTAGCCACACAGTGACTATAAGTAGACGTTCTCCTGACCACACAGTGACTGTAAGTAGACGTTCCCCTAGCCACACAGTGACTGTAAGTAGACGTTCTCCTGGCCACACAGTGACTGTAAGTAGATGTTCCCCTAGCAACACAGTGACTGTAAGTAGACGTTCTCCTGGCCACACAGTGACTGTAAGTAGACTTCTCCTGGCCACACAGTGACTGTAAGTAAATATTCCCCTGACCACACAGTGACTGTAAGTAGACGTTCTCCTGGCCACACAGTGACTGTAAGTAGACGTTCCCCAAGCCACACAGTGACTGTAAGTAGACGTTCCCCTGGCCACACAGTGACTGTAAGTAGACGTTCCCCTGGCCACACAGTGAATGTAAGTAGACGTTCCCCTAGCCACACAGTGACTGTAAGTAGACGTTCTCCTGGCCACACAGTGACTGTAAGTAGACGTTCCCCTAGCCACACAGTGACTGTAAGTAGACGTTCCCCTGGCCACACAGTGACTGTAAGTAGACGTTCTCCTGGCCACACAGTGACTGTAAGTAGACGTTCCCCTAGCCACACAGTGACTGTAAGTAGACGTTCTCCTGGCCACACAGTGACTGTAAGTAGACGTTCCCCTAGCCACACAGTGACTTTAAATAGACGTTCCCCTAGCCACACAGTGACTGTAAGTAGACGTTCTCCTGGCCACGCAGTGACTGTAAGTAGACGTTCTCCTGGCCACGCAGTGACTGTAAGTAGATGTTCCCCTAGCAACACAGTGAATGTAAGTAGACGTTCTCCTGGCCACACAGTGACTGTAAGTAGACGTTCCCTAGCCACACAGTGACTGTAAGTAGACGTGTTCCTAGCCACACAGTGACTGTAAGTAGATGTTCCCGTGGCCACAAGTGACTGTAAGTAGACGTTCCCCTGGCCTCGCAGTAATAGTAAGTAGACGTTCTCCTGGCCACACAATGACTGTAAGTAGACGTTCCCCTAGCCACACAATGACTGTAAGTAGACGTTCCCCTAGCCACACAGTGACTGTAAGTAGATGTTCCCCTAGCCACACAGTGACTGTAAGTAGACGTTCCCGTGGCCACACAGTGACTGTAAGTAGACGTTCTCCTGGCCACACAGTGACTGTAAGTAGACGTTCTCCTGGCCACACAGTGACTGTAAGTAGACGTTCCCCTAGCCCCACAGTGACTGTAAGTAGACGTTCCCCTAGCCACACAGTGACTGTAAGTATACGTTTTCCTGGCCACACAGTGACTTTAAGTAGACGTTCCCCTGACCGCACAGTGACTGTAAGTAGACGTTCTCCTGGCCACACAGTGACTCTAAGTAGACGTTCCCCTACCCACACAGTGACTGTAAGTAGACGTTCCCCTAGCCACACAGTGACTGTAAGTAGACGTTCCCCTATCCACACAGTGACTGTAAGTAGACGTTCCCCTAGCCACACAGGGGCTGTAAGTAGACGTTCCCCTAGCCACACAGTGACTGTAAGTAGACGTTCCCCTAGCCACACAGTGACTGTAAGTAGACGTTCTCCTGGCCACACATAGACTGTAAGTAGACGTTCTCCTGGCCACACAGTGACTGTAAGTAGACGTTCTCCTGGCCACGCAGTGACTGTAAGTAGACGTTCTCCTAGCCACACAGTGACTGTAAGTAGACGTTCCCCTAGCCACACAGTGACTGTAAGTAGACGTTCCCCTGGCCACACAGTGTCGGTAGGTAGACGTTCCCCTGGCCACACAGTGACTGTAAGTAGACGTTCCCCTAGCCACACGGTGACTGTAAGTAGACGTTCCCCTAGCCACACGGTGACTTTAAGTAGATGTTCCCCTAGCCACACAGTGACTGTAAGTAGACGTTCACCTAGCCACACAGTGACTGTAAGTAGACGTTCCCCTAGCCACACAGTGAATGTAAGTAGACGTTCCCCTAGCCACACAGTGACTGTAAGTAGATGTTCCCCTGGCCACACAGTGACTGTAAGTAGACGTTCCCCTGGCCACACAGTGACTGTAAGTAGACGTTCCCCTGGCCACGCAGTAATAGTAAGTAGACGTTCTCCTGGCCACACAGTGACTGTAAGTAGACGTTCCCCTAGCCACACAATGACTGTAAGTAGACGTTCCCCTAGCCACACAGTGACTGTAAGTAGATGTTCCCCTAGCCACACAGTGACTGTAAGTAGACGTTCTCCTGGCCACACAGTGACTGTAAGTAGACGTTCCCCTAGCCACACAGTGACTGTAAGTAGATGTTCCCCTAGCTACACAGTGACTGTAAGTAGACGTTCCCGTGGCCACACAGTGACTGTAAGTAGACGTTCTCCTGGCCACGCAGTGACTGTATGTAGACGTTCTCCTGGCCACGCAGTGACTGTAAGTAGACGTTCCCCTAGCCAAACAGTGACTGTAAGTAGACGTTTCCCTAGCCACACAGTGACTGTAAGTAGATGTTCCCCTAGCCACGCAGTGACTGTAAGTAGACGTTCCCCTGGCCACACAGTGACTGTAAGTAGACGTTCTCCTGGCCACACAGTGACTGTAAGTAGACGTTCCCCTGGCCACACAGTGACTGTAAGTAGACGTTCCCCTGGCCACACAGTGACTGTAAGTAGACGTTCCCCTAGCCACACAGTGACTGTAAGTAAATATTCCCCTGACCACACAGTGACTGTAAGTAGACGTTCTCCTGGCCACACAGTGACTGTAAGTAGACGTTCCCCTAGCCACGCAGTGACTGTAAGTTGACGTTCCCCTGGCCACGCAGTGACTGTAAGTATACCTCATGATCATCGGAAATAAATTACGAGGGGACTCATGTAAGGCGAGGCATGGCATATGCTACAAGGCGTCACGGTTGCATTGAGACGACACGCAGCTTCGAGTACTGATGATTCCGCCGCTTGTTTCAAACATGTGAGTGAGTGGGTGAGTGAGTGAGTGAGTGAGTGAGTGAGTATGGTTTTACGCCGCTTTTAGCACTATTCAGGCAATATCACGGCGGGGAAACCACCCATGTTGGTAATCGACCCCGGGTCTTCGGCGTGACGCGCGAACGCTGTAACCACGAGGCTCCCCCGCCACCTTCAATCGTGAAATAACATTATAAATTAATTTGATGTCAACGTTATTTTTCGCCTCGTGTCAATCGATCCTGATTGAAAACAAAGGTATGGTGGATAACAGATCCAAGGTATTCATCATAACAGATCTGACATTTATTACACTGGTAAATCGAGGAAGTAATTACATTACTTAACGTCAAATGAACAAAATTACTTTTAATGAAATAAAATAATGCGCGTGATTAGATGTTCTTGTAATCACGGACAATTATCATCGCCGCAAATTAACGGTTGTTTTTGTATATTTAGACTACGTTCCTCCCTTACTTACGGAAGCCCATTAGGGCCATCTATATCATTTGTATTCTTGAAAACTGAAGATGCTAATTTGAAAATTCAAGCTACCATGTTGATGATACTGTTTAAAATTCGTAATACCTTTTTGAATTAAAGATATTAAACTAATGCTTTAACATTGTTATTGGACTAGTACCTTGGACTTTCACCATACTATCTTGAAATGTGAATATATAACCTTTACATTTGAACATCCTATCTAGTTTTTTTCTATTATTTTGTTTAAGAAGATATCGCCTTGCTCGTATCCCGTACTTTCTCGTGAATACACGTGGTGTCGTATCTATTTTTAGTAAGCCCATGAAAAGAGACCGTTCATTATTCTGGGATTTCAAATGAGCACTGATCCTTGCAAGATCCGTGTGCGATGCGTGTCACGGCGGGGGACACCAGAAAATGGGCTTCACACATTGTACCTATGTCGGGAATCGAACCCGGGTCTTCGGCGTGACGAGCGAACGCTTTGAACACTAGGCTACCTGACCGCCCCCGATGCGTAGAGTACATATTGATAAGCGCGAAGAATTACCGTTTGTGCATCTTCCCGAGGCAAGAGAGTTAACTGACTTTAAAAGTCCAGTTTCCACCCTTGCCGAACTAGGCTGGTATTATGGAGTCACAGTTTGGCTGCACTAACGAGTCTATGCATAGTTCAATCAAAATCTCGCAACAAAATCGAAATTCGGTTTGAAAACTGTCTTGCACATTTCGGTCGATTGCAGGATTTGCAAAGCATGTGCACCGCCAACTCGTTGTCAACAGATATTTTCCAAACCTTTTAATGATTTTAATCAAGGTGCTCGCATGATTTGATGCACTTCGCGATGTAAGACCCGTTTTATCACAATATAGATCTTGAGTATCGATCGGATCGTCTTGACTGGGCGCCGCCATTTTTTTGGAAACAAATGCAAGTGATGGAATCTGATTGGTCCATAGGAGAGGCTTAGAAGGGACATAACTCGTAATAACCACGGGTGGCGTTACGATCGAGCCCAGGAATTCCAGCCTAGTTCGGCAAGGGTGGCAACTGGACTTTTAAAGTCAGTTAACTCTCTTGCCTCGGGAAGATGCCGTTTGTGATCTGTAAGTGTGAGCTCTCATTGGTCGAAGTACTGGAAGGCCTACCTCTCGTTGGAACCAGGCTTTTCCGGACGTATGTATTCGCGGGTGATGGGGGGAAGGCAGTGTATAGGTACCTGGGAAGTATTACCGATGGTACAATTATCTGTGACTATGTTCTGAATTGTCAGGGCGTGGTCGTAGTCGACGGTGACGTGCTGACCAGCAAGATGAAGTTTTCGATCGATGGCGAGGTGAAGCGGGAGTGGGAGACAGACACACGGGTAGTCGGAGACTACCTGGAATACGTGAGTATTTATTTATTGTTTGTTTGTTGTTTAACGCGCACTCACCAATATTCCAGCTGTATGAGGGCGGCCTGTAAACAGTCAGACATTCCTGTGATTGACATCATGAGCATAGATCTATGCAATTGGGATATGATGGCATGCATCAATCAAGTCAAGGAGTCTGACAACACGACCCCGTAGTCGCTTCTTACAAAATTCATGGGAGTATTTAATAAATCTGATATTTGGCAACGCGAATCACATTCTGTTTCCTTCAACCTCAGATTAAACGAAAAGAGTTACAAAAAGAAAAAACGAGGGAAAAAACGATAAAAAACTACTTAGATTGCCTAAGCATGATAATTCAACGGAAGATGCGACTTAATTGATGCGTGGTCAAACTCACTGACTTGGTTGATTGCGTGTCATCGTATCTCGGCGGGGTGGAAGGTTGCTCATAATATCCATCACTGGTTTGTCTGATGATTTACAGGCGCCGTCCTATAAGTGGAATATTGCTGAATCAGCAAACAGAAATACAATAACTTTCAATGTCACGGCGTAGGAGCAGTGGGTGGGTTTGACGCCGCTCTGGACAATGTCAGCTTAATCTGGGAGTAAAGGCTAAATCGACGCAGGATATCTGGGTTTTTTTCTTTAAAAAACATTGTTCCCGAAAATGCTTGAATGAAATAATGTGTGCTCTGGTTTTAAACCGAAACGTTCTGCCAGGCGTATATGACATTTGTCCCATTTATTGTTTCTTCAGAAAAGCATATTCAAGGGAAAGGAGATGGTTCACAAGCTAAAGAAGATATGACGTGTTTGCACGGGCTCCGCGTGAGATTTAGGAGCATGCACTCGTCTCACCTAGACATTGGTCACGTGCTAACGCTGCCGAGAATCGAACTGAAAGAAATTGCCGACATTTCTGCCTTCTGTGTTTTCTCAAATATCGAATCTATGCAAACGTGTGTTCATAAATATGCATACGCTTATTGTCTGTCATACTTTAAGATGTCTAGTTCTACGAAGACATTTTGCTTATGAAGATATCAATAAAATCGACTTGCATGTATACTGTTATATTCATGTAATTGTGTTTTACTATGCAGAAGAAAATGAATAGGTAGAACCTGACGCTGGAGCTATCTGTCCAAGTTTGCAACGATACTAATTCATTTCCTCGTGGGTGGGTCTCTCACCCTTGTTTCAAAATGCCTATGATTTTTTATGACGTCACTTCGAGTGTTTTGGGTGTACATGTATAGGCCAGACAAATGTAATTACATTTTTACGGATTCTAATCGCAAATACCTTAAGGAAAGAGGGAAAAACTAAACATAAAAATAGCTTTTGGTTTTAATGAAGCAGCGATCCGGTTTGCTAGACTTGCCCTGGTCTAAATCGATCAGCGATCACTCCTCACTTACATCCAGTTTGCTAGACTTGCCTTGGTCTTTATCTAGCTGCGATCTCCCCTCGCTTACATCCAGGCTGCTAGACTTGCCCTGGTCTTTATCTAGCTGCGATCTCCCCTCGCTTACATCCAGGCTGCTACCCTTGCCGTGGTCTAAATCTAGCAGCGACCGTCCTCTCGTTTACATCAAATTTGCTTGAATTGTCCTGGTCTAAAAATATAGCAAAAAGCAATTGTTATATTATGACTGAATTCTTCTTTTGTTTAGTGAAACGCTGTCCGTTCGCTTCAGGTGAAGTCTTCATTGAGCAGGTTGTCAACATGCCAGTGTAACTGCTCACTTGGACTGTATACAATGGCTAAAACCAGACAGGTGTGTTTCTTGTATATAAAACGTTAACGCCGGACAGTAAACAGTCTTGATAGTCCGTGGAAACTGGTTCCAGTTGGCGTAAAAGGCAAAATAGCTGTGAAAAATATATGAATGGATTACTGAAGATCAGTGATGACACCAGGTGTTCGCGAAAAGGTTAACCTGTCCTGTCCTACCTTTAGCAAGTAATAAAACAAGTGAGTGATTGAGTATGGTTTTACGCCGCTTTTAGCAATATTCCAGCAATATCACGGCTTGGGACACCAGAAAGTAACTGCATCAGTCTGACTTAACAAACATTTGGAAAGATGGTATTTTTATGCAAATGGTAACGTAATTCCAGGTCTTGATAGGCTGGATAGAAAGCTCCATCGTTGCGTGTGAAGTCTGTAAAACACGGAACGGACGCCCCCCACCGCTAGTCAGTTTTATTGACATCACATTGTGTAGACGTGTTGTTAGTTGGTATTGTGTGCTATGTGCCATTGTTAAATAAACACGTGAATATATATAAAATATTTTAGGCTTTTTGCTGCCTGGAAGTGCTTTGGTACTGCATTCCGATCGTGATGAATGTTGATGCATGTCAGTAGACTGCAGGCCGTGTCTCGATACAGCGTCTGCTCGGAGAGGGAAAATCGGTGGTTCATGCCAGAAATATGTTGAAAAATGGTACTTAGGGCATTAAACAATGACCGCCTCCGTGGTCTAGTGGTAGAGCGTCCGCCCGGAGAGCGGAAGGTCCGGGGTTTGATCCCCGGCCGCGTCATACCAAAAGACGTTAAAATATGGAACTTGTTGTTACCATGTCTGGCGCTCGGCATTAAGAGGCTAAAACAAGGACTGGTCGCCTCGGAGTCAGTATACTGTGTCTGAGTGGGATATCCATGTGAAATTGCGGCATGGTATCTCAGTGGGCTAGCACTAGAAAATCAGCATCAGTCAAGACAAGTTCAAGCAGCCGCACAAACGCGCACGTGCAGTATTCTGAAAGGAGATTGAGACCCATTTCACATTACTTTATTTATAATTACCAGTGTACTGCGATAAGTACCATGCTTATTAGAACGTATGTAGAGATAATGTGGTATAGCAGAGGGCAATAATTCCAGGAACAAGAGAGTTGTAACTTTATAAACAGAGTATGTCACAAGTAGGATAAGAACACCATGTGATATTTTACGTGCGCATCGTATGGTCATAAAAGGAACAGTGGACGACCACGATCCCTATTGGTCAAGTTTGCTCTTATAGATGACAATCTGATAGCACTATGGAATAAAAAACCCAACTCATCATAGCATCAACCCGTGAAGATCCGTGTTGGAAGAGGTCGTCAGCAACCCATGCTTGTTGTAAGAGGCGACTAACGGGATCGGGTGGTCAGGCTTGCTGACTTGGTTGATGCATGTCATCGTATTCAAACTGCGTGGATCGATGTCCTTGATATCAGTCACCGGATTGTCTGGTCCAGGCTCGATTATTTACAGACCGCCGTCATATAGCTGGAATATTGCCGAGTGCGGCGTTTAACAATGATCAAACAAACCAAGAAAATTATCAGTAGGTATTTACAGTGTTTTGACTAAACATTAACGACGGGTGATCCCCGAACATCGCGAGATGGGAAAACATGCTTGGGGAACTAATGTTTAAACCTTCACCACACACTGAAACGACTTTCAGCCACCAGACACCCAAACTACCGTTAACACCACAGTGAGCATTAACAAGACGACCGGAAGTCACCAACATGACCTTTTCACTACTACCAGGGACTGGACAACTGTGGTCAAGTATACGGCAACGACATCTACTCCAAATGAATGAAAGGCATTACGACATCTTGACCACAAGCAAAAGACAAAATAAAGATAGGACTTCGGCCGGACTCCACACCATAGTGTAACTGTTCTGTTGTGGAATATTGAAGGTTCTAGCAGCAAGATAAACGACGCATACTTTTTAACCTTGGAGGAAAGCCCGAAGTGATGCAGGTCTCAGACCTTTATCACTTCAGTGAAACCAACGAGCACGGATATGGTGCTGAGAAACCTAGAAACATAATCGGGGCGAACCGGGATTCGAACCCACAATCATAGGTTTCTGGCGTATCCAAGGGACGCAACTCTGCACAGGGAATCGCGGCGCCTTAGACAACTTTCGATGATTTTGTGAACAAGTTTGGTCGAATACTTTTAAAGTTTTGTTGTATCTTCAAACTGACCAGGGCTGCATTTTGATAGATTGTTTCATAGCTTCACATAGATGGTTTAAATATTTTAAGTCAGCGTAGGTTTATAGACAGCGTGGTCGAAGTAAGCATATGCCACTAATTTTCGAATGTAATGGAACAGATGGAGATATTTTTATAACAAATGAGGTCAGTTTATGTTGGTATGAGTTAGATGGCTTGCCAAATATACTTTTGTACAAAAAACATATTTATATCAGAGAGGTTCAGTACTTTTAAAACAGGAATAAGCGAGCGCTCCTGTGACACCTACATTAATTTTTCTACAAGACGCGGGCAGAATAAGAGTTATCGTTCTTGTTTGAAGTAGTTCCAGTGTTCATACGCCAATACCGGAATCGGACGAGTTGGTCACGAATGTGGTAGATAAGGCTATATTCTTTTAAAACCATTTAATAATACCGTTCGAAGTTGAAACATTATACAATATACTATGTGTTATTTGTGGCGATGTGTCACAGGCAGTGGTACAAACAAACATCGGACACAAGAGAGTGTGTGCACACGATCCCACAACACTGTTCTCGGCAATCACTTGCAGATACTACTGCACCACCATACGTTATAACCGTAGTTTACTGTATTCCTGAAATATCACGACGGGATTTCGTCCTTGCAATTGGATATTTTACGAGCGGTCATTTAATAAGCAGGTTATAATTGGCCAAATTCTCGTTTTTGATTTTGCCAATACGAGCAGTCATCCCGATTCAGGAGCATAAAGAAACAGATCATGAAGTAGATGAGACTATAGTTGCCCTTGGGGGTGCCTACTGGCTGCTTGAATTTCATATCCCCAATTTCACATAGATTTTGTTTCTGCGTGGAAACTCCACCTATGTTTGTGGGGCGTCTCCTGTGGGATTCGCGTTTGGAACAGGGTCAAAGTAACCCCTCCTTGTAACAAGCGACTAAATGGATCGGGTGGTCAGACTTTGTTGTTTGATAACGTGTCATTGTACCCGACGGCATGGGGCGTTACTCATAATATCAACCACTCGTCTGACCTTGTTTTCAAAATCAGCCATTTATTGTCTGACCTATATTATTTTCTGGCTGCTGTCAAATTGCTAGAATATGTCTGAATGCGACGTTAAACAACAAACTAACAACAAAACATATAATCGCTTCTTTCTCCTTGCTCTGAAGCTAAAGTAAAATATCCTCTTGCGTCCTGTACAAGCCGCGCCTCACTTCTTCCGGTTTTAGTGGGACAGGAGATTCATTCGTGTCGTACGAGACAACTCAATTGACTGTGTGACCTGGTTGATTGTGTGTTATCTTGGCCGATGACCATCTTCCCGAGGCAAGGGCTTTAACTGACTACAAAAGTCCAGTTTCCACCCTTGCCGAACTAGGCTGGAATTCTGGTGTTACATTTTGGTTCAACCAGTGAACTTTGAAAACTAACTCATTTACTGCTTTTGTGTGTGTGTGTGTGTGTGTGTGTGTGTGTGTGCGTGTGCGTGTGCGTGTGTGTGTGTGTGTGTGTGTGTGTGTAAGGGGAGGCGTTATGTTGCTGGAAGACATAAAACATATAAAATATAGTACAACGCAGAAATTTGCAAAATGTATGCAGCTGGAATACAAATATATAATTTTGAAACTAGCCCAATCACAACGACCTACATACAGTGTTTTGGCATGTCGGGGGTGTTATATGGTGTCAGATATGAAGGTTGTGTTTGGTTTGCTCGTTCTTGGGATTCCGGGTTAGAATTGATCACTGCAACTTGTGCTGTCGTAAGAGGCGACCAAATGAATAGGGTGGACTGGTTAGGCATGGATCACTGGTTTGTCTGGTCCAGATTCAAATAATTTACAGACCGCCACCATATAGCTGACATATTGCTGGAAACAGTGTCAAACAACAAACAACATGTCACGCATGCCAACGCACTGCTGTAAATCGGTGCATTCGATAGACCTTTACCGAATACCCAATTCAAACCAACCTTTCTGTTATATGGAGACATCATATCAGGTGAAATAGGGTGTAACGTCGCGTTCAAGATTATTGCACTTAATAGCTACGTACGTGCGTGCATGCGTGCGTGCGTGCACGCGCGCGCGCGCGTGTGTGTGTGTGTGTGCTTGTACTAGTCCGGACGATTTAAAATTGCTAGCCCACTGAGATACCATTCCGCAGTTTAACAAGAATACCCCACTCAGACACAGTATGTGACTCCGAGCCGACCACTTTTTTTATTTTATCCCCTCAATGTCTCGCGCTAGGCAGGGTAACAACAAGTAACATCTTTTAACGTCTTTTGGTATGACGCGGCCGGTGATCGAACTGCCGACATTCCGCTCTCCGGGCAGACGCTCTATCACTAGACCACGGAGCGGTCTGGAAGATTCCACAGGACGTCCATACTTATTTTCACAGTTCTGTTACCTGACCTATTTATTTCACTTGTATGTTTTTTGCTGTTAAGGTCATGAAATCTGGGCTGAAGTCCAACAGGTGGTGTATGGCGTATCCTTCTCACATCAAAGTCACAGAATCGGTTATTTCAGAACGTTTATTTATGCAAAATAATGGCCGCCAGCCATATTAGACCACATTCAAGTTTTCAATAAGTATTTGTATGAAATGCATATTAATTCCTTCATTATATATTTTGTATATTATTATATACTCAACAACCAAAGTTCCTGTGACACAAATATTTTAGTGAATTTTTCAAACAAATAAGTTTGGTTTTCAATATCGAAGTACATGTATGGAATTAAGTCACAATAAAGCAACTGCTACAGAAAAGCATGCATTCCATGCAACAGTTGACTTTTATGCAAGCCCCATGCATTTCATTACCCAAGAATGGGTATAAAAACATGTGCGTTAACGGGATTCCATATGCATTGTTAAACATCGTGCTGACAACAACCACTCAGAAAAACAACAAAATTACGCAATTTTTCAACATTACGAAATGCCACGCCTGTCCGAAAATAAGCGTCTGCGAGCCATTGGTATGCTTGAAGCAGGATAGAGTCAACGTGATGTTGCATGACAATTTAACGTCCACAGAAACACCATTTGGTGTTTATGGCAACGTTGGCAACAGATGAATGCAATCAGAGACCATCCTCGGAGTGGCAGGCCACGCGTAACCAATAATCGACAAGATAACTGGATTCGAACAACACACCTACGAAATCGATTCCAGCCAGCAACAGTGACTGCAAGAAGCACCCCTGGCCTTCGATGAATATCTTCACAAACCGTAAGTCGCCGCCTCAGATGTGCAGGTATTGTCGCCAGAAGACCCACTAAACGTCCCATTTTGACAGGAAACCACCGTTAAGCACGTCTACAATGGTACAGAGAGCGTCTACGCTGGACGGCCATGCAGCGGGGACAAGTTCTATTCACTGACGAGTATCGTTTTCACCTCAGCCAAGGCGATGGACGGATTCGAGTGTACCGACGTCGAGGTGAACGTCAATCATTGTGTCATGGAAGAAGATCGGCTCGGGGGCGGCAGTGTTATGGTATGAGGTGGGATTACAGCAAGACAGAGGACCCGTTTTATAGTGGTAGAGGGAAATCTCAATGGACAGCGCTATCGCGACGAGATCATCGGCCCTGTTGTTCAACCGTTTTTGCTTCGTCATGGCCCAGGCATTACCTTTCAACATGACAACGCCCGGCCTCATTTTGCTCGACTTGTTCAGGATTCTCTTCAAGAAAACAACGTGAATGTCATCCCCTGGCCGGTTCGCTCCCCTGAAATCTCACCTATCGAGAACATGTGGGATGAGATGGATCGGCGCCTTCGACGTCAACCACGGGTTCCACAGACACTCCAGGAACTTCGAAACATGCTCCAGCAGATATGGACAGATATCCCACAGGACTTTGTGCGACGCCTGGTCCATTCCATGAGACGAAGATGTGTTGCTTGCATCGCAACCAGAGGTGACACACACGCTATTGATTAATAAAATGACATTTTGTCATGTTCATGTTCTTTATATGAAATCACGCATTTTCTGAAGTCAGTGTGGCAAATTAAACCATTTGAACACGTACAGAAGTCTTTTCCTGTTGCAAACCGAAATTGTTTCAGATTTGGTAAAAAACATTACTTTGAATTAAATCTTATTCAATGTCACAGGAACTTTTGTTGTTCAGTATATCATATTGACGTGCATGTATGGAACTGGAACACGGACACTAATCTAGGAAACGGTCATGACCTACAAACAGCGTCTAGTCACGTCAGTTATTGTGTGCTGACAAGATGATAGTGTTGGTGTTGTTCAGCTTAGGACTTTCAACAGGTACGTGTTTCCAAAACTGTATCTGAACATTTCCTTATTCCTTGAATTGAGGAAGAATATTTTTGTCTGTTTATTGCTTAATAATAGTAATATTATTGTACATACATGTAAGTTTTGTTGTTTAACGCCGCCCTCAGCAATATTCCCGCTATATGACGGCGGTCTGTGAATAATCGAGTCTGGACCAGACAATCCAGTGATTGACATCATAAGCATCCCTCTGCGCAATTGGTTGGTTGGCTGGTTGGTTCGTTGGTTAACGCCGCACTCAGCAATATTCCAGCTATATGACGGCGGTCTGTAAATATATCGAGTCTGGACCAGACAATCCAGTGATTAATACCATGAGCATCGATCCACGCAATATGGGATCGATTACATGCATCAACCAAGTCAGCAAGCCTTTTACGACAATCTTAGTCGCCTATTCATGCTAGTTTGGGTTGCTGAAGACCTATTATACCACGGATCTTGACGGGTCCCATATATGTAAGTAATCGAGTCTGGCTTCATCAACCAGTGATTGATATTATGGGTACGGCCACGCCTTAAGGGTTCGAACTCGCCATCCGTTTAGTCCTTCTTACCACAAGCTTTGTAAATACCCGGAATAACTCGGAATCACAACGGATGTGGCCGAGTTATACTAATACGTCACCATTATCTGACGCGTACTCTAAATTTTCCCCGAGATTCTCTAGATACAGGAGGCATCAAAGAGTGACCGAAGGTGGAGTTACCATCACATTTAAATCCGATTGTATCCGATTTGTAGCTCGCCGCAATCAATAGGAAGTTGATGTGACTGATCTAGCGGGGATACAGCTGTCTTGATAGCATGCTCGATTGTACCTTAAACCTTTTGAAATGTAGACACAAAAGGCTGGAGTATATTGCTCGACATAAAGGGAAAGTTGAAGTCATCCTGTCATGCAGTCTTGTGGGAATACATTTGTGACTCTGAATTTCTATGCATCGATCTAAATATGAAACAGATGAGGCGGGCTCTTTTTTTTCTCGTTCAGGTGGGTAAATCAGTGGAAGGAAATTAGTTTTTTGACCATTAATGAACGATATTAGATGACCGATACACATGAAGCTTAAGTGATGACTTTTGCCAATCCGAGCAGAAATTAATAATTTTTATGCATAAAGAAACATATCTCCAAGATGGGGAGCCCCATTGGTTCCCATGGGGATGCCTTAGTTAAACTTCTCTTGGCCATTTCCCGTGATTTTTGTTTTTTTTCAAATCCAAGCAGACATTAGGTCCTCAAAGAAACAGATCATCAGGAAGCACAATATCTTCGGGAAAAATTCAGTAACATGCTGTTTTTCCCCTTCTTTTTCAGCGGCCTCCCTGGACTGCTACAATTGTAATCATTATGATGTTAACAACGTTCAGCATTCTTGTCAGGTTTTGAAATGTAACAAAGGAGAGGTCAGTTTTTCTCTTTTATAACCCATAGCTTTAGTATTAACCAAGTTCATATAAAAACGTATGCGCACTAGTGCATTTATCACTTCACGTGCACTAGTGTATCGTTTACGTCATCCGGATGGACCCGTGAAGATCCGGGGTAGAATAGGTCTTCAGCAACCCATGCTTGCTGTGAAAGGCGACTTTGCTTGTCGTAAAAGGCGACTAACGGGATCGGGTGGTCAGGCTCGCTGATTTGGTTGATGCATGTCATCGATCCCAATTGCGTGGATCGATGTTCACGATGCCAATCACTGGATTGCTGGTCCAGACTTGATTATGTACAGACCGCCGTCATATAGCTTGGATATTGCTGAGTGCGGCGTTAAACAACAAACAAACGTCATCCGGATGGTATTTTGGACGTCATTCGAATCTTATTATGACGTAAGGTCGAAATGACATCTCATTAGAACCGACGTCATGGCTGAAGATTGTTGACGTCATTCAACAATTGTAGTTCTTAAAGACGGCGGTGGTTATCAGTGCTTTTTTTTAAGTGGAGCTCAAAGGGATTACGAAGGAATGGCTAATAAATAAATTATCACACTCGCATGTGAGGGATGCTTCGTTCACGTTACAAAATATCCATAGAAACATGGAGGTCACGAATCGGTACATTTGTAACTCCTAGAGGACAACGACAAGTAGAGACAGTTCTCTCCTGCACCTCGACGGCGGAGTGGACAACAGGAACCTACATGTCCTACGGTCTGATGTTGTGTACAACACTACTTCTCACGAGCTAGTATTTGGGATCTACTACAGCATCGGCGATGCAATCGGCATTACCTACCCTCATACCATCATCATCGTTGTTCTCAGAAGGTGAGATTTGTGAACATGTCTACAAACAATCGACATTGTTTACATACCGAAATCTGAACAATACCTTGGAATTTAGGCGACAGCCATTTGTGACACTTATCTATCTCTCCGGAGATATTGAACTTAATCCTGGACTTAAAGGAGATAACTTTGATGAGCTAAAGTGTGCAATAATTGAACAGATAAAGGAATCGGAAGCTAGATTAACTCAAAATATTGAATCTGTTAAAGCTGAAATCCAGACAATCAAGAACGATGTTCGTGAACTTCGAGACGAGGTGAACAGCAACAAAGAAGAACAGGCAATCTAAAGGCTTGATATTGATGCTGTTTCCGATAGAATAGATGCTATTGATGGTTATGGCGATGGTGTTAACAGTTTGGAGGAAAGAGTTGAAAGTCAAGAACGACATAGTAGAAGAAACAATTTAATTCTTTATGATGTTCCTGAAGGAGATAGTGAGTCCTATGATGCATGCAGGGGATATTATTAACAGAGATAGAAAAATAAAGAAAACAAACTTCCCCAGCTAGTGTCAAGAGATGTTGAACGTGCACATAGACTATCTATAAGGGAAGATAACCAACCACGCCCACTCATAGTGAAAATGACTCATTGGATGGGCATGATGCAAGGGGTGAGCATGAGAGGTACTAGTATACTGAGAGAGATGGGATTCGGGGTTGCTAGTGACCTAACGTACGAGGGGCGTTCAATAAGTTTTGCAACTTTAATATAAGACCAAGTCGCAGAATATCTTTTGCACTTTTACTTTTCAATATTATCCCCATTTACCTCAATACACTTATTCCATTTGTCCTTCAAGCTTTTAATACCACTTTTATTGAAATCCGGGGGCTAAGTCACGGGGGGCTAAGTCTGGGCTGTACAGTTAAATCACCCACCCTACAGCCCAGACTTAGCCCCCAGTGACTATTTCCTGTTCCGGCAAATGAAATCTGCCCTAGGATGACGAGGACCTAGAGGCTGCCACAGAGGCGTTGTTAGAGGGCCAATCTACGGATTTCTATAAAAGTGGTATTAAAAGGCTGAAGGACAAATGGAATAAGTGTATTGAGGTAAATGGGGATAATATTGAAAAGTAAAAGTGCAAAAGATATTCTGCGACTTGGTTTTATATTGATGTTGCAAGACTTATTGAACTCCCCTAGTATAACCAACGACGTGAACGTAACAGATTACGCGCTGAAAATCCTAATAAAAGGTTTTTCTTCAAAGGAGGAAAAATTGCCCAGGACATAAAACGTGACGCAGAGAGAAGAAATGGTCCTGCACAGACTCAGGATAGTGATGTTAGACCAAAATATGGTGGAACCAGGAACAACGGTAATCGGAGGCAGGGTGAAGAAAACAGAATTGACTTTCGGCCTCGATCACTCCGCCCCAGCACGAGAAAGAAGACAAACAATAGAAAGGGGGTGGCCCGGGCCAAAATGATTGGAGGCTGTGTCAAACAGGTTCACCTACAATTCCCCCTTTGTTGATTGGGTCCATAAAATTTAATTTCTGGAACGTGTCTGGACTAAAATCCAAAGTAGACGATTGTGAATATATTACCTTTGTTAACTTATTCGATATTATCGGGCTAACTGAAACATGGTTGAAGGAGACAGATTTGGGTGGTTTATTCAGTGGTTTTACTATACACACAAAGGTTGGTGAGCGGATATCTACCCGGGGACGACACTCAGGTGGTTCAGTAACAGTATTAATCAGAAACAGTTTAGCACTTGTGAAGCGGACCAAAGTGTGTGGGAGTGGTATACTTATTTTACTAGATAAAGAAATATGTGGTCTAAAGAAAGACGTATTATATGCATGTGTATATATTCACCAATAACCTGTTACGTCAATGCAAAAAAGGCATCTCATTATTACAAGACGATCTGTTGCATATGCTTTCTAATTGTGACAATGTGTATGTTATCATCGGAGGTGATTTCAACTCTAGGACTGGCACACTACCTGATTTTGTTGAACACGATATTCTTGAATACATGGAGGGTAATGATTTATAACGGGTTGGAGTTTCTGTTGGATAGTTTTAACATGAAACGATTTTCGGTAGATTCAACTATAAACAGGTTTGGTAAATGCTTGTTAGATATGTGCAGTATTCTAAACATCCATATTATGAATGGAAGATGTGGATCAGACGCGGGTGTAGGGGATTTCACTTTTATAGGAAATCAAGGTGCGAGCGTGGTTGATTAAATAATATGTTCATCTGAGTTGTTTAATATATGCAGTAGATTTGACATACGCTCACGTCCTGAGTCATCACATCTTCCACTCACAATGGATTTACGTACGTTTCATAAAAACTGAACAGATTAAAAGTGATCAAATTATTAATGAATCTTTCAGATTTACATGGGTCCACGATAGAGCTGAGAACTTTAGATATAATTTGACATCAGATGAAGTATCTTATTTACTTGAAAGGGCAGTAAATACAGCATTCGTTAGCATCGATGCTAGTGTAAAATATATCACTGAAGCCTTATAAATGGCTGCATCAGATATGAAGAGAAAAGTTTGCATTAAGAAACCGCATCGTCAGTGGTATGAAAGTTGTTGTGAGTTATTTAAAAAAGAAAGATGTAGATGTTGAAATATATTTCGAAGGAAAAAAGATTTGGTTTCATTGGACAATTACCAACGCATCCGGAATCAGTATAACGAAAGATGTAGAAAAAAGAAAGCTGAATATTATGAAATGAAACAGGAACTTCTTGAGAAAAAACATTCATAATTTTAAAAAAGTATTTTGGTCAACTCTTAAAAAGCTAGGGACAACTCCACACAGTCATAATAATATTAGTATCGAAAATTGGTATGATCACTTTAAAAAAGTACTCACGAGACTCCGATGACGAGTGATGAAATAAGAGAAAACATTTCTCATCTTAAAAATGGTAAATCAGCTGGATATGACAAACTTATATCAGAGTTTTTTAAACATTCTATAGATATCCTTGTACCATATCTAGAGTTGATTTTTAATATTATGCTGGAAACATCATATTTTCCTGAAGACTGGGCACTTGATATAATCGTCCCTCTCCATAAACAGGGTTCAGTGAATGATACAAATAACTATCGAGGCATTGTGTTATCCAGCATTTTTAGCAAAGTGTTCATATATATTCTAGGGCTGATACTTACGAAAAGATTAGTGAGTCTCAGTCTGGTTTCAGGCAAGGATACTCGACAAATGATAATATATTTAGGTTGCAAACAACAATACAGAAGTACCAGTAGATTTCTCTAAAGTTTTTTATTCTGTTAGCAGAAATAAATTATGGTCACTTTTCAAAGCACATGGTCTCAGCATTAGAATTGGAAAGTTAATGTGCTGCATGTATCCAAATGTGAAGGTTTGTGTGCGAAATAACGGTACTGTGTCTTACACATTTGAAAACAAAATTGGCGTTAAGCAAGGGTGCATTTTACGTCCGTTTTTGTTCTCTTTCTTTTTCAATGAATTAGCTCAACAAATTCAGCAGAACTGTTCTGATGACATCCTACTTCACCCGGAAACTATTATTAGTTATTTTTTTCTTTTGTTTGCCGATGATATAGTAATGTTTCCAAGCACAGTACCTGGACTACAAAAGCAAATTAATCAGCTGGAATGTTATTGCAAAGCAAAGAATGGAATTTATCTGTCAACAAGAATAAAACAAAAGTTATTGTTTTTAAAAATGGTGGTACACTAGCCAGAAGGGAGAAATAGTTTTATCAAGGACATTCATTAGATGTTGTATCGTCCTATAAGTTCTTAGGTGTATATTTTACAAATAGATTGTCATGGAAGATGCATGCTAACCAGGCTGCTGTACAAGCTAAGAAGATCCTAATTGGAATTCTTCAACATATGAAAGTTCTTGGAAATATAACCTATAATACATTCTTTAAGATTTTCGATACAAAAATAAGCCCAATTTTGTTATATGGAGCAGAAGTTTGGGGATTAGAAATGATTGATGTTATAGAAAAAGTACATTTATATGCATGCAAAAGAGTCCTTGAAGTGAAACCTAGTACGTCTGATCTAATGGTCTATGGAGAATGTGGAAGATACCCATTAACTATGTTTGCAAAGTTAAAGAAGATAAAATACTTGATTAAATTAGTTAAAATGCCTGCAAAAAGATATCTAAAGAATTGTTATAACGTGTTATTACTCTATGATCAACAAGGACAGGCTAACTGGGCATCTTCTGTTAAGCATCAACTTTATTCATATGGTTACGGTAATATATGGACAGAACAGGATACGTATATACCAAATCATTTCAAAGATGCTTTCACTCAGACACTGAAAGATATGTACATTCAAAATTGGCATTTTTCCTGATCAGTATCAAAGAAACTATCAAGTTATTCCCTCTTTAAAAACAGCTTCCGTGGAGAGCAACAATACGTATTAGATTAAAAACATTTCGAATTGCACTTGCAAGATTCAGATGCGGTTCACACGAACTCTTTATAGAGACGGAAAGATATATGGGGATCGTGAGAGAACACAGAATTTGTCAGTTTTGTGATTTAAACACTAGAAAATGAATACCATTTCTTACTTCTTTGTCCCTTGTATGCTGAACTCAGAAAACAGTTTATTGATAAATATTATATCCGTTATCCAAGTCTACAGAAATGTGTTACATTAATGTCAAGTAAGAATTTAGCAATAACGAAAAAGCTGTCAATGTACATATTGCATGCTATGAAGCTAAGAAGTTCCAAATGTGTTACCTTTTAAATGTATATGCACCCATTACTATGTAACATGTACTATAGGCCTGTGGTCTCTCAGTATCATGAATAAACACATATACGTGAGGGATGCTGTTTTTACGAAACTGGTGATAATAATTCGTGTATTTCCCTCGTTCTCGCTCGGGAAATACAATATTGTTTCTTTGTTTGTTGTTTAACGACACACAATATTCTAGCCAAATGACAAGAATTCTGACAGTCATAACGTTTAATCTGTATGACACACATGCTCGTGTAATTATATATATTGTTAATGAGCGAGGTGATTAAAAATATGTGTATAATAATAGTTTCACCTGCTTCTCATCATTTTTGACATTATCCAAATACCATCGTGACGTGATTTATGACCACAATAGTAATGACGTCATAGCAAATAATTTTTGACGTCATATTGACTCTGTTAGCACTGCAAGACGTTTTCAGTATAGAAAACTATCCATGTGCTACATCTGATTGATAAAGTGTGGATAATAACAGGGAGTATTATATATATGTGTGTTTCTACTGATTTAGAAAACAGGCGATGCTCAGGAAATAGAACTGCAGATACTCGTTTTGTGAAAATGGTTCCACTCATATACCATTCTGTTTCGACTTGTTATTCTCTGGTTTTGACCTTTTATACATGACACCTTTTCATAGCCGATTAAACAAAACACATTGATATCTCATTGACCTGGAGGATTTTTAATCTTTCCGTTTTACATGTTTCTGTACAAACGAGTATAAAGTATTTCAAATCATTTGCAATATGTTTTTGTTATTTGTTAATAGTTGCGATATTAGAGTATTTTGGTTTGATTGATTTATTGACTTCCGGATTTCTGTATTAGGTTGGATTTTGTTTCCCTAAAATTCTGAGGAATAAGTACAAGTACTTTTTGAGCCAAATTGAACTTGAATATATTATTCGGTTGGTCAGACTTGTTGACTGTGTTGATAACATGTCATCGTATCCCGATTTCGTGGATCGATATTTATGATTTTAATCACTGGATTGTCTGGCCCGGGATCATGTAGCTGGAATATTGCTGAGTGCGGCCTTAAACAAAATAATCCTGAATTAATTGAATTAATGAATTAAGGATTATCAATCATCGGAATTAACATGGGATTATTTATCGTATCGCTGGAAATGCGTTGTCGTTGAAGTTGTAAGCAGTAGTGTATTTGTCAATGAAATTCATCTATTTCAGTTTTGCAAAATGGAAACAGATCACAGCACCAAAGTACATGGACATTGTGAAGATATTCATCAACTGGCAGTGAGTTCACAATGACATACGGAGCTTCTCTTTCCGACGTTAGGCGATGCTACTTTGCAATGCATAATTCCAACTTCTTCATTCACAGAAAATAAGTAAAACAATAAAATCATTAAGATGTTATTATAAAACTTACTAATGTTGTTTTCCATGGCCAATAGCGGAATATGAAATACCTGAAGAAATGTCTGTAGCATGTCATGTGCCTCTTCCATTCCGTACCATGTCATGTCACGACTTTATCATGTTATGTTCTCTTCTCCTCCATTCGTACCCTCTCCTCTGTACCACCTCATGTCCTCTTCTCCTTCGTTATGTATATTGTCATGACTGTACGCCATTCCGTGACATGTCTTGTCATCTTCGCCGCCTCTGTGTACCATGTCCTCTCTCACGTCATGTCCTCTTCCATTCTCTACCATGTCATGACTTCTCATCTATTGTTTACAACTTCAAGACCTCTTCTCCATTGTATAAAATGTCATGTCCCCTCCTCGTCTCCTCCAGTCTCTATGACGTAATATCCGCGTCTCCTCAAGTCTCTACCATGTCATATCCTCGTCTCCTCAAGACTCTATCACGTAATTTCCTCGTCTCCTCCAGTCTCTATCACGTAATATCCGCGTCTCCTCAAGTCTCTACCATGTCATATCCTCGTCTCCTCCAGTCTCTATCACGTCATATCCTCGTCACCTCCAGTCTCTATCGCGTCATATCCTAGTCTCCTCCAGTCTCTTCCATGTCATGTCTTCGTTTCCTCCAGTCTCTATCACGTCATATCCCCGTCTCCTCCAGTCTCTATCACGTCATATCCTCGTCTCCTCCAGTCGCTACCACGTCATTCCTCTTTTCCTCCAGTCTCTACCACGTCATATACCCGTCTCCTCCAGTCTCTATCACGTCATATCCTCGTCTCCTCCAGTCTTCACCACGTCATATCCTCGTCTCCTCAAGACTCTACCACGTCATATCCTCGTCTCCTCCAGTCTTTACCACGTCATATCCTCGTCTCCATCCAGTCTTTACCACGTCATATCCTCGTCTCATCCAGTCTCTACCACGTCATATCCTCGTCTTCTCGAGTCTCTACCACGTCATATCCTCGTCTCCTCCAGTCTCTACCACGTCATATCCTCGTCTCCTCCAGTCTCTACCACGTCATGTCCTCGTCTCCTCCAGTCGCTACCACGTCATAACCTCGTCTCCTCCAGTCGCTACCACGTCCTTCCTCTTCTTCTCCAGTCTCTACCACGTCATATCCTCGTCTCCTCCAGTTTCTAACACGTCACACCATGGTTAATTACATTAACATTGCAGCACTGCCATGCGACACCTTCGTGTATTCCGTTTCATGAGAACAAGTGCACTTTCTGCTGTGATACAGATGAAGAGGTGCACAAGACACTCCAGCAACCAAGTTAGTGCTTGGCATCATAATTAGACGTTAAAACTAACGTTTATCTCTGGAATTGTGTGTTCCAGCTTTGACATTCGACACATACAGAATCCTTCACACATGGACTTTCTTTGGTATCTGACATAACGACAATGACTGTGGTAGTTTATTTATTACCGACGTTAAATTTACATTTAAGTGTAAAGCAACAATAACTGTCGTTCGTTACAGACCCCTGACCGAAAAGGGCATGTATATTGATATATGCCCAAATATAGGCAATGATCCTGCTATTATGTGGGTAAACATGACAGCAGCAACGCTCAAGATCTTTATTTAAGTATTTTTGTCAACTGATAGTAGTTCAGTTCAGGCGCATAGCTAATACGCAGAACAACTGTAAAACATAAAAATAAGTGAAACAGTGCCTCATTCGGACCTACCGTGTGTCACTCGCACCGCCGGTGTAATCAACATAGCTCCCTTTACCGTTGTCAAGCAAGATGAGGATAAGGATAACTATGGAAACGTCGCTATTGCGGGATAATAAAGAAGTTGTTATCCATAAACCTTTCACAACTTTGTCATCCGTTAAGTTCTAAGAAACGCCTATCAACCAAGACGTTTACGCCCATTGTATATGTGTGGAATGACACGAAACGCAAAAACTCCCAAACCAGCCGTTTACGTTTGAGGTTACACACAACCAAATGTTTTTCCATAGACTTCTATAGTAACGTTATATTTTTTTTTAAATAACTAAGCATTCAACAGCTATTACCTGTACGTGTGTGCATAGTTTGGCCTTAAAGCAGCAATAAAAACAAAAAAATGACTAGCTTAGCCAGCTCCTTTTCCGAGTACAGGAAGCTAAACACACCACCCCCAGTTTCGCACCAAATGTCACCTACATGAAAATAGCTGTGGTAACATTCAGCATAAGTCATCATGTTGAAAAAGACAGTACTAAATAAAGAAAAACATGATCAGTTTTAATAACTGGATGGATGTACATTTAAAAGACATAACAATCTTACACAATATCCACCAATCACAGCCTGCAGATATCTCTCGATCTGCACTGAAGACTCCCTACGAAAACCGCACTGACCCAACTGGTTCTGATTTGGTGTAGTAGAACCTTGACCGACAGCAGGCCTTCCTCAACCATCTTGTGTTATCCACGAGGCGCAGTTGTTAAGCTTGTGTCGCTGCTAATGGTGGTCATACCTGGTGCTGACTTGTGAACTGACCATTGACCCCGCCCCACTTCAAGCCTGAGGTGACGTTGACTTTAACAAAGGACAGGTGTTGACACTCGTAATGACACCAGTTATTGTTCTCTTGCAAAATGGTAATTTGTTTACGTTTAGTTATTATTTCCCATGACAGTCGGTGATGCACAGAAACTTTTTTCCCGCTTGTATAGATGTCAAAGTGGTATTAAACATTTTTCTTTTCATTTCAGCGGAATCTCTGGCGTGTTACAATTGCCACCATTATGATGTTAACAGCATTGGCCATTCTTGTGAAGTTTTGCACTGTGGTGTTGGAGAAGTATGATATATCGATTCCTTTAGTTGTATTGCTAATGATTGTGAGTGTGGTTTTACGCCGCATTTACTGATATTCAAGAAATATCACGATGGAAAGCTCCAGAGAGAAGCTTCACAAATTGTACATATGTGGGCAATCGAACCCGGTCCTTCGGCGTGACGAGCGAAATGTTAAAGCATTTGGCCTCCTCACAATCCACATGGCCATTGGGGGACGGAAGTAATAGGACTCCAGTGGTATCTTCATAATTTACGATTTCGAATAAAACGAATAAAACCTATGAATGATGAAATCTCACTGCGAATCCCTCAAGCATCATGGGAAAAAACGATAAATTATCGAATGACCTGCCTGAAAACAGCCAAACATGAACTGGCAACATCCGAGCTTGTACACATCTTCAGTTAGACTGGCAACATCTGTATCATGATATAATCAATTGGCTAATTCACCCTGTTCTGTAAATATAATTACTTCTAGTTTTGCAAGATGGAAACAGACCACAACAGCAAAGTGACAGGAACGTGTGCAAAGATCAATGAAATGAGTGTGAGTATAAGAATTTAATTTACTCTTCTAGGCGTAAGATTACTTTGTTTGTGTAACACAACAGATGATGCTGGCTACAAGATCGTGTTCGGGAATGTAAGAACTTTTAACTCAAAGTGAGGTAACAGAGCCACTGACATAACAACTTATACCTGGGCTGGGCTGGGCTGGGCTGGGCTGGGATTGGATTGGATTGAATTGGGAATTGGATTGGATTGGATTGGATTGGTTGGATTGGATTGGATTGGATTGGATTGGATTGGATTGGATTGAATTGGATTGGATTGGATTGGATTGGATTGGTTGGATTGGATTGGATTGGATTGGATTGGATTGGCGTGGATTGGATTGGATTGGATTGGGGATTGGATTGGATTGGAATTGGATAGTTCTGTTCATTGAGCATCACTGACCTTCAGATGTATCTCCATCAGGCAACAACACCACATCGTTTGAAATTGGAAACATGTTTAGCACCTCCCCATCTTTGTCCATGCATCAAATATTTTCATGTTACATTGATCTCATTTTTATATGTGTATTTTACACCATCGATACCTTTCTTGTTGCTGCTTGTTCTAATCCGGGTTTTAGTGTTAGCCCACTGAGATACCAGTTTCACACTTAGAACCAACTCAGACGCAGTACTTACTCCGAGTTGGCCAGTATTTGTTTTAGCCCCTTAATGCCGAGCGCCGGGCAGGGTAACAGCAAGCACCATTTTAAAAAGTATTTTGGAATGACTCAACCAAGGAATCGAACTTACCTAAAAGAGTGTCTATACTATGTCAAGTTTATTTGCACTCACTGGCCATAATAGCATGAATTTACATTGCAGCACTGTCAAGAACACGTGACCTCTTCATGCATTCCGTTTTACCATGATAAATGCACATTCTGCTGTTCGACTGGAGAATGTATAAGCAATTCTCTCCAGGTGCCAGGTAAGATCTTAAACATCATTATGTTTACATCATGTAGAAACACAAAAGCGTTGGTAATGAATAAAGGGTAAATCCAGATAATTTGCATCTCTCAGTTATTCTGAAGTAAATCCATCAGCTAAGCGATAGACGTCGGAAGGACATGGTTGCTGAATGTGATAATGTCATAATATCCATAGTAGTTTTGTTCCTTTTTTTCGTTTTTATATACATATCTCAGGACGTAATGCATTTGAATGGTGATGGATACAATGACACTGAACGCTGTTGCAATTATATACATTTAAATATTTAAATGTATATCTATATATAAATGATTTGATTTGTTGGTTTGTTGTTTAACGCCGCACTCAACAATATTCCAGCTATATGACGGCGGTCTGTACATAATCGAGTCTGGACCAGACAATCAAGTGATTGACATCATAAACATCGATCCACGCAACTGGAATCGATGACATGCATCAACACAGTCAGCGAGCCTGACCACCCGATCCCGTTAGTCGTCTCTTACGACAAGCATATTCGCCTTTAAGGGCAATCATTGGTTGCTAAAGACCTATTCTACCCCGGATCTTCACGGGTCATATATTAATGAATTAATAAATTAAATAGACTAACTTAAGAGATGAATGGGTGCATCACTTAAACACCTGAAAGTTGCACAAACAAACAAAGGTGAGGTGAGGTGAATTGGGTTTATCGTCGAGTCCAAGATTATTGCACTTATATAGCGACGTGAACAAACAAAGGAATAATAAGCTTTCGGCTTTGCATATATACGTTTTGCTTGGAGGTCATGAGTTACCATCAGTTTATCATAGTGCAAATGCATTGAACCTTTAAGAGTCCTCATTATGTTGAAAATGTTATTGTTTATTCCTGTGTCATAACTATTTATGCTAAATGTATTATTTGTCATTTGCCTCCATAGAATAGGGGTTTTATACAACATTGTGTTACAATCTAAGAAGGTATCTTTATGATAAAACAGTTTTATTTAATTCCTCGAAAGGAGTGAATCAAGTTGAACAACACATATATTGTTCACTGTGCATGCCTCATTTATACCCGTTGCCCATAAACAGATCAACTTCGCGAAATGGACGATTAAGTCATATCGGTTCAAACATAACATTATTTATATGTCTAGGATTACCATTATGTTTTCCATCAAATCCATCGCATATCTTCTTCATTGATTTATGCTAGCTCCTAGTCTGAAGAGTTATTTTACATATCGGGTTTGTTTTTTCAAAAGATAGGTTTTAAATGGCTGGGTCTCATATTTGATGGTTTTGAGGCTTCACATCTTCCATCGAGAATCCCGGACGGGACGCAACCTAAAATGTACGAGAATCTGTACTTTACTTAGAAAGTATTATCCCAAATATAATATTAGTTACATTTGACCACTTTCTAAATGGCATTGTGTATTCATAGCTTTCGGCGTGGGAGCCGTACCAATGTACACGTGTCAGAGGGGTACACAAAGTACGTGATCTAGACTACCAGTTGTCAGACTTTCAATGTTTTGGGAAACCTCGTTGGCTGAGCGGGTTAGATCGCTGATTTTGTGTGCTGGCGATTAGGTGCCTCCCTCTGGCATTGTGGGTTCGAATCCCGGACGGGACTCAACACCTAAAGTAAGATAATCTGTACTTTACTGAGAAAGTGTTATCCCAAATATAACATTTATTGCTTTGCCATTCCCCTCAAATTAAAAAAAAAATCTATTTATTGATAAATTCCTGTTGTGGGTTGGGAAGAGAGGAGAATAAATGTGCTGGAGTAGATAATGACAGGTTTTTTTAACTGTACTCATACATATTAATGTTAATCTTTTCTTTCTTTAGCTCGCAAGTAGCATATTAATATTGTAATTTGTATAGTCTTTTCCTGGTATTTATTACCCAAAGGTCTTTCAGACGTGTGTTAAGTTTGATTCCTTATGCTTCAAACTCTTTAGAGTACCAGTCAAAGTGGAATACCTGACACAGTATTATATTATTTCCTGATATGCAACCAATTCAAATATCTTTTGTTGTATCAAAGTTCATGTTTCGTGATGAAAGTGTAGTGAAAGTAGCCTGAGAGGCAATACAGGTTCTAAGAATTTCTTCTCTACGACTTGCATGTCATCTGATTATTGTCCAAATTTATATTCTTCATTTGATTTTTTATCCAATTAATGTCTGTGGTGCATCCTTTCATAATCCCAAGTATTTCAGCCACAAGGATGAAAAGTCAGGGCGATATTGGACCACCTTGTATTAAGCCACTTTCGTTATAAAAGAAGATGACGATGACCATTTTGTATTACACAGAATTCATCTTATCATATGATTGTCTAAACCATATGTTACAAGTACACCCATTAGGTAATGTTTGGACACTACGTCAAACGCTTTTTTTAAAAGAATGGATAGGCAATAGCATGGTTTCTTGTGGTCTTTTCTTAAAACATGACATCGTACAGGCGTCTTATGTTATCACTGATGCATCTCCCTGGAATGTAACCAGTCTGGAGTGCGGCGTTAAACAACAAACAAAACAAAAAGCTTAGTACTTTATAAAGTTAGCGGAGTAGCGGAGTTGGCCGCCAATTCTTCAAAGTGTGCTTGTCTATGTTTGGTGTAGGGATACATGTGTTTACACACCTACTCATTGCTGCGGTTAATCATTTTATTATTTACAGCTTCTGTGATAAATCTGTAGACCCAAATTTCGAAATCTTTCTAAACGAATTTAAAGAACTCAATATGGAAGGATCAACACCCGGGCTTTCATTATCTTCCATGGTTTTTGTTGCTTCTAAGTATTTCTTCAAATTCCATTGTTTTGTCTAATTTATCAACGTGATTGTTTAAAAAAAAAGTTTTTCTGTATGTATAAACTTTATGTATTAATCGTTTACATGTTTTCCATTGTCCATAAGGGTGTAAAGAGTAAGAACTTACTGATATTGGCAAATGTGCATGTCAGCAATTCCAAATGCTGATTTGCCATTTAAAGCGATATGACGTCATAGTGCTTTGAGAAAAGCAAGATATGACGTCATTCATTGTTTATTTACGTCACATACGGATAATATTACGTCAACTGAAAAGTAGACTAACTTCGGTGAAGTGTCCCTGTGGGTTGACATTTCATCCGATTTCTTCATTTTTGTCTTGAAACTCAGAATGTGAATGAAAGCTATAGTCACTAGCTAAATGATTGGGGTTTACACCATCCAGACAGACGAAACCTAATTACTATGTTTTTACATAGATGTTTCTCTAAAATGGCATGGTTCAATCAGTTCTTGCTTCAAACTGTTAACATGCATATTCATATGATTGCCAATGAGAGTGAGCTATGAAGTCACCTAAGTAGTATTTCATCCACATTGTGACCTTATATAGATAATGAGGTATGCACACTCCCACTGAGAATAACGTTTTTCATTATTTTGACAACTATAGTTTACCAGAATTATAACATGATGTCAGTAATTTACTGTCAGTTTGTAAACACGCTGCATTCCTTTCCTGTAGCCATCCATCACGCTAAACCAACACCACTAACATCTACCACAACGTTGCCTACAGTGATCAAAGCAACTTCTGTGACCAACGTTCGGCCATGTAAGCTTCACCAGTACTACTTGAGGAACAACTTCTTCAATCTCTGTATATTTAAATAATGTCTACCGCGAACGCGACAGTACGATTATTGAATTATGAATTTATATTATGAAATATTTATACTCTACTGGCTCGAAGTCTTGCTAATCTACATCAAAGCTCCATGACTGGTAATACTATACACATTCGATGTCTTGCTGATCTAAATTGTGTTTGCCTTGTCCTACTATCACTTTGGACCAACAAACATTGATTTCGATTAAAACAAAGTACACAGTTTATATTTTCACCATAAAGCAAGTTGATTGAATTTACGTGTCTATTTATTTTGAGATTGAAATATTATTATGGGATCTGAAAAGAAATAGATTTCAATAAACGAGATGATTTTATTCACAGATGTCGAAATGTTACTCAATACATGTTTTATTTTGCATTTCAGCGGAATATTTGGAGTGTTACAATTGCCACTACTTTGACGTCAACAATATATACCATTCTTGTGAAATTTTGCACTGTGGTTTTGGAGAGGTATTATTCATAGCTGATATAAGTATATTGCAAATGAGTGAGTGAGTGTGGTCGAATTTAGCTCTATTTCTGTAATATCACGGCAGGAAATATACAAGAAGTAGGCTTCACAAATTGTACACATGTGGGAAATCGAACCGGGACCATCGGCGTGACGAGCGAAAAGTTAAAGCATTAGGCTACCACACCGCCCACATGACTAATGAGGGAAGGTAGTAATAGGACTCCAGTGGTTTCTTGATAATGTCATGATTTCGAAATGTGAACAAAACCCATTTATGATGTAATCTCACTGCGAATCTATCAAGCATCATGGAAAAAACGATATATCATATCAAATGACCTGCCTCAAAAAGTCAAACTTGTATCACCTACCGTTCAATTATTGAGTCATTACGAGGTCACATGAGGGTCTGCTGTTGAAAATGGATCGTTTAACGAGACACAGGGAAATGACGTAATTGCGGTTGTAGCATTGTTACTCGCAAACGCTGTGTGCATATTTTCTGAAACTTTAAGCAAACCTTTCTACCTCGTTGCGAACAGATCTCCAGTTACACTGACAAAATCTGAGCTTGTACACACATCATCAGTTACACTAGTTACAACTCTGTCATTGTATAATCATTCGGCTAATTCACCCTGTTCTGAAATTTCTGTAAATATAATTACTTCTAGTTTTGCAAGATGGAAACAGACCACAACAACAAAGTGACAGGAACGTGTTCAAAGGTCAATGAAATGAGAGTGAGTATAATTTTTTAAGTTACTCTTCTAGGCGTAAGTTAACTTTGTTTTAGTAACACAATAGATTATGCTTGTTACAGGCTCGTGTTGGCGAATATAGTAACTTAAAACTCGAAATGAGGTTACAGAGCTGCTGATATAACAACGTACAACAGATCTCATTTTGATATGTGTCTCTTACACCACCGATACTATCGAGTTGTTGCTTGTACCAATCCCATGTCGCATTTTCACATTGAGAACCAACTCAGACACAGTATACTGACTCTGAGTTATCCAATATTTGTTTAAGGCCCGTAATTCCAAACCTGCAGAGGAACAGCAAGTACCATCTTTTAAAGTAGTGTAGTATGACTCAACCAGGAAATCGAACTTACCTGGAAGAGTGTTTGTACCATGTCAAGTTCATTTGTATTCACTGGCTTCAATAGAATGCATTACCATTGCAGCACAGGCCATAATAGCATTTACATTGCAGCACTGTCAAGAACACGTGACCTCTTCATGTATTCCGTTTGTCCATGACAAATGTACATTCTGTTGTGCGACTGGAGAATGTGTAAGCCAGTCTCTCCAGCTGCCAGGTAAGATCTTAACATAATTAACTTTACATCCTTTGGAAACAAATGAGCGTTAGTAATGAATACAGGTGAAGTCCAGATAATGTAAACCAAACTTTCATACAAATATTGTTCGAGCTGGATCCAGATATTTATTTGACATAATATCAGTAATGTACTGTCAGTTTCAAAACATGTTGCATTCCTCTACTGTAGCCACCCATCACGCTATACCTACACCACCAACAACAACATCTACCACAACGTTGCCTACGGTGGTCCAAGCAGCTTCGAAGACCACTGTTCGGCCATGTAAGCTTCACCAGTACTACTTGAGGAACAACTTCTTCAATCACTGTCCTCTTAAATAATGTCTACCATGAACGTGACAGTACGCTGGATTATTGAATTATGAATTTTTATATTGCAATAGTAATACTCTACTGGCTCGAAGTCTTGTTTATCTACATCAAAGGTCAATGAGTAGGGGCTGTATATTAAACCAACACTATTATACAGGTTCGATGTCTTGCTGATCTAAATTGTCTTTGCCTTGTCCTACTATCACTTTGGACCAACAAACTTCGATTTCGATTAAAGTCCACAGTTTATTTTTTCACTATAATGCGAGTTGAATGAATTTGCTTATCTGTTTATTTTGAGATTGAGATATTATGATGGGATCTGAAAAGAAATAGATGATATTATTCACAGATGTCAAAATGTTTCTCAATACATGTTTCTTTTCATTTCAGTGGAATATTTGAACTGTTACAATTGCCACCACTTTGACGTCAACAACATTTACTATTCTTGTGAAATTTTGCACTGTGGTTTTGGAGAGGTATGATTTATAGCTGATATAAGTATATTGCAAATGGTCGAATTTAGCTCTATTTCTGTAATGTCACGGCAGGGAATACAAGAAGTAGGCTTCACAAATTGTACACATGTGGGAAATCGAAACCGGACGTGACGAGCGAAAGGTTAAAGCAATAGGCTACCCCATCGTCCACATGACCAACGAGAGAAGGAAGTAATAGGACTCCAGTGGTTTTTTTTGATAATTTCATGATTTCGAAATGTGAACAAAACCCGTTAATGATGTACTCTCACTGCGAATCTCTCAAGCATCATGGGAAAAAAGATATATCATATCGAATGACCTGCCTAAAAAGCCAAACTTGTATCACCTACCGTTCAATTATTGAGTCATTACGAGGTCACATGAGGGTCTGCTGTTGAAAATGGATCGTTTAACGAGATACAGGGAAAAGACATAATTGAGGTTGTAGCATTGCTACTCGCAAACGTTGTGAGCATATTTTCTGAAACATTAAGCAAACCTTTGTACCTCGTTGCGAACAGATCTCTAATTACACTGACAACATCTGAGCTTGTACATATATCATCAGTTACACTAGTTACACCTCTATCATGATATAATCATTCGGCTAATTCACCCTGTTCTGAAATGTCTGTAAATATAATTCCTTCTAGTTTTGCAAGATGGAAACAGACCACAACAACAAAGTGACAGGAACGTGTGCAAAGGTCAATGAAATGAGAGTGAGTATAATATTTTAAGTTACTCTTCTAGGCGTAAGTTAACTTTGTTTGTGTAACACAATATATTATGCTTGTTACAGGCTCGTGTTTGGGAATATAGTAACTTAAAACTCGAAGTGAGGTTACAGAGCTGCTGATATAACAACGTATAACGGATCTCATTTTGATATGTGTCTATTTCGAGTTTTTGCTTGTACCAATCCCATGTGGCATTTTCACATTGAGAACCAACTCAGACACAGTATACGTACTCTGAGTTGTTCAGTATTTGTTTTAGCCCCGTAATTCCAAACCTGCAGAGGTACAACAAGTACCATCTTTTAAAGTAGTGTAGTATGACTCAACCAGGAAATCGAACTTACCTAAAAGAGTGTCTGTACCATGTCAAGTTCATTTGTAGTCATTCGCTTCAATAGCATGCTCTTACATTGCAGCACTGTCAGGAACACGTGACCTCTTCATGTATTCCGTTTGTCCATGACAAATGTACATTCTGTTGTGCGACTGGAGAATGTGTAAGCCAGTCTCTCCAGCTGCCAGGTAAGATCTTAACATAATTAACTTTACATCCTTTGGAAACAAATGAGCGTTAGTAATGAATACAGGTGAAGTCCAGATAATTTAAACCAAATTTTCATACAAATGCTGTTCGAGCTGGATCCAGATATTTTTGACATGGTCACATTCAAGAAATACAATTGATACATGCATTATGTATACATGCAGACATTTCTTATGAATATGGAAAGGATTTTGTGTTAAATTAAATTCTAATTCCTTAATATCTTTTTCAAACAATTCCTCCTTAGTAAAAGGGATGTCTGGAAATACGTTTTGCTCGGAGGTCATTAGTTACCATCAATTATCATGGTTATATGACCAAGACCTATTAGAGGACTTATTATGTTGAAAACATTATTGTTTATTCCTGTGTCATAAATATTTATGCTAAATGTTTTATTTATCAGTTGCCACCATAGATGTGGTATATTATACATTTTGTTGCAATCGAAGACGATGCCTTTATGATTAAAGATTTTCTTTAAATCCTCGAAAGGAGTGAATCAAGTTGAACAACAAATATATTGTTCCATGTGTATGCCTTTGTCATACCCATTCTCTATAAACAGATCAACCCCGCGAAATTAAGGATGTCATAAAGGTTCAAACAAAAAACAAAATCTTTTATACAGGATGTTTGGGTTTTTAAAGATTTGGTTTAAATGAACGCGTCTCATATTTGATAGTTTCGAGGATTCAATAAATGTTTCCACATCTACCATTCTAAGGCCATCATCTTCTCATGACTTTATCAAGTCAGATCTTTTTATTTGGTCTGTTTTGCCATTTCCTATAAATTTAATGAAAGTTCTACTAATGAAGTTTACTGGAGCAGATAATGACAGGGTTTATATAAGTGTAATTATACCTATTAAAGTTAACCTTCCTACTTCAGCTTGCAAATAGTATACTAATATGTTTTCCTGGTATTTATTACCCAAAGGTCTTCCAGACGTTTGTTAAGTTTGATTCGTAATACTTCCAACTCTTCTGAATGCCAGTCAAAGTGGAAATCCTGACACAGTGTCCTAATACTTCCTGACATGAAACCAATTGAAATATCTTTGGTTTTATCTTTTGTCCTGATAATTGAGAGAAAGAAGCTGAAGTGGTAATAGAGGCTCAAATAATTTCTTCTCTACGACTTGTCCTAATTTATATTGTTCATTTGTTTTGTTTTATCCCTTTAATGTCTGTGGTGCATGTTATCGTAATCCCAAATATTTAAGCCACAAGGATGAAAATATAGGGCGATATTGGACCACCTTGTCTTAAGACACTTTCGTTATAAAAGAAGATGACGATGACCATTTTGTATTACACAGGACGTGTCATTATTAGTGAATATATGAATTAATGTGATCATATGAGGACCAGCACCACATGCAATGTTTAGACACTACATCAAACCTTTTTTCAGTAAATCGATAAGCAATAAAAATAGTTGGTTTCTGGTATTTCTTTTCTTAAAACATGATATCGTACAGACGTCTTATGTTATCACCGATACATCTACCCTGAATGTAGCCTGTCTGGCTTCATGAATTATGGTATTTAGAGTTGGTTATACAGGTACTCAGTATATTATTAAGTGAGTTGGGTAAAGATGTTGGCCGCAAATTCTTCAATGTGTGTTTGTCCATGTTTGGTTAAGGTAAACTTGTGATAACTACTCATTGTTGTGGTTAATGTACTGTTAGTAACAGCTTCTGTGATAAATCTGCAGGCCCAACTTTCGAAATCTTTCCAAAAGAATTTAAAGAACTCAATATGTAAGGATCAACACCCGGGCATTTATTATTTTCCTTGGTTTTGCTGCTTTTTGTATTTCTTCAAATTCCATTAAGTTTTGGTGTTTGTATAAACTTTATGTATTAATCGTTTACGTGGTCTCCATTGTCCATAAGGGTGTAAAGAGTAAGAACTTACTGATATTGGCAAATGTGCATGTCAGCAATTCCCTAGGCTGATTTGCCATTTGAAGCGATATGACGTCACAGTGCTTTGAGAAAAGCAAGATATGACGTCATTCATTGTTTATTTACGTCACATACGGATAATATTACGTCAACTGAAAAGTAGACTAACTTCGGTGAAGTGTCCCTGTGGGTTGACATTTCATCCCTTTTTCTTCATTTTTGTCTTGAAACTCAGAATGTGAATGAAAGCTATAGTCCCTAGCTAAATGATTGGGGTTTACACCATCCAGACAGACGAAACCTAATTACTATGTTTTTACATAGATGTTTCTCTAAAATGGCATGGTTAAAACAGTTCTTGCTTCAAACTGTTAACATGCATTTTCATATGATTGCCAATGAGAGTGAGCTATAAAGTCACCTAAGTAGTATTTCATCCACATTGTGACCTTATATTGATAATGAGGTATGCACACTCCCACTGAGAATAACGTTTTTCATTATTTTGACAACTATAGTTTACCAGAATTATAACATGATGTCAGTAATTGACTGTCAGTTTCTAAACACGCTGCATTCCTTTCCTGTAGCCATCCATCACCCTAAACCAACATCTACCATAACGTTGCCTACAGTGGTCCAAGCAACTTCGAAAATCACTGTTCGGCCATGTAAGTTTCACCACTACTACTTGAGGAACAACTTCTTCAATCTCTGTATGTTTAAATAATGTCTACCGTGAACAGTACGATTATTGAATTATGAATTTGTATTATGAAATAATTATACTCTACTGGCTCAAATCTTGATAATCTACATCCAAGCTCCATGACTGGTAATACTATACATATTCTTGCTCATCTAAATTGTGTTTGCCTTGTGCTTATATCACTTTGGACCAACAAACATTAGGAATTTCGATTAAAATAAAGTCCCACACTTTGTATTTGCAGCATAATGAGAGTTGATTGAATTTGCGTATCTATGTATTTTGAGATTGAAATATTATCAAGGGATTTGAAAGGAAATAGATGTCAATTAATGAGGTGATATTATACAAAGATGTCGAAATGTTACTCTTTTCATGTTTTTTTTTATTTCAGCGGAATATTTGAAGTGTTACAATTGCCACAACATATACTATTCTTGTGAAATTTTGCACTGTGGTTTTGGAGAGGTATGATTTATAGACTCCTATAGCTGATATAAGTATATTGCAAATGAGTGAGTAGGTGTGGCATTTAGCACTATTTCGGAAATGTCACGGCGGGGAATACAATAAATAGGCTTCACAAATTGTACAAATCGAACCAGGACGAGCGAATGGATAAAGCATCAGGCTACCCCACCGTCCACATAGCACTTTTATTTTTAAACGATTATTGGCTATTTTCTGAAGCTTTAAGTGAACATATTTATCTCGTTGCAACATATCTGTAGTTACAATGGCTACATCGGTGCTTGCACACACATCAGTTACACTGGCTACACCAGAACTTGCACACAGATCTCCCGGTACACGGGCTAAATCTGAGCGGACACACATCACAGTTACACTGGCTACAAAAGTACTTGCACACAGATCTCCCGGTACACAGGCTAAATCTGAGCTGACACACGCATTCAGTTACACCGGTTTCATCTTAACCTGCGGACAGATCTTCAGTTACACCAGCTACATCGGTCCTTGTACACACATCAGTTACACTGGTTACATCTGAGCTGTCACACACATCTCCAGACACACTGGCAACATGTCAGCTTACACACATATTTCCAGTTACAGTGGCTTCATCTGAGCTTACACACACATCTCCAGGCACACTGGCAACATGTCAGCTTACACACATATTGCCAGTTACAGTGGCTTCATCTGAGCTTACACACACACATCTCCAGGCACACTGGCAACATGTCAGCTTACACACATATTTCCAGTTACAGTGGCTTCATCTGAGCTTACACACACATCTCCAGGCACACTGGCAACATGTCAGCTTACACACATATTTCCAGTTACAGTGGCTTCATCTGAGCTTACACACACATCTCCAGGCACACTGGCAACATGTCAGCTTACACACATATTGCTAGTTACAGTTGCTACATCTGAGCTTACACACACACATCTCCAGGCATACTGGTAACACGTCAGCTTACACACATATTTCCAGTTACAGTGGCTTCATCTGAGCTTACACACACATCTCCAGGCACACTGGCAACATGTCAGCTTACACACATATTGCCAGTTACAGTGGTTTCATCTGAGCTTACACACACACATCTCCAGGCACACTGGCAGCATGTCAGCTCACACACATATTTCCAGTTACAGTGGCTTCATCTGCGCTTACACACACATCTCCAGGCACACTGGCAACATGTCAGCTTACACACATATTTCCAGTTACAGTGGCTTCATCTGAGCTTACACACACACATCTCCAGGCACACTGGCAACATGTCAGCTCACACACATATTTCCAGTTACAGTGGCTTCATCTGAGCTTACACACACACATCTCCAGGCACACTGGTAACATGTCAGCTACACACATATTGCTAGTTACAGTGGCTTCATCACACACACATCTCCAGGCACACTGGCAACATGTCAGCTCACACACATATTTCCAGTTACAGTGGCTTCATCTGAGCTTACACACACACATCTCCAGGCACCCTGGCAACATGTCAGCTTACACACATATTTCCAGTTACAGTGGCTTCATCTGAGCTTACACACACATCTCCAGGCACACTGGCAACATGTCAGCTTACACACATATTGCTAGTTACAGTTGCTACATCTGAGCTTACACACACACATCTCCAGGCACACTGGTAACACGTCAGCTTACACACATATTTCCAGTTACAGTGGCTTCATCTGTGCTTACACACGCATCTTCTGTTACTCTGGCTTCATATGAACATGGACACACATCTTCAGTACACTAGATGGATACATGATATAAGCAAATGTCTAATTCCCCTTGTTCTGAAATGTCTGTGAACATAGGGTATAATTTCTTCTAGTTTTGCATGATGGAAACAGATCATGACGCCAAAGTGACTGGAAAGTGTTCCAGCGTCAATGAAATGAACGTGAGTATAAGATTTCAAACCGCATTACTCCTCTTGCCGTTAGTTGACTTGTAAAGCATGTCCCATTCGCTGTCTGGGCTGCGTGTAGAGGGGGCAAGGGCCCTGAGCTGATGATGAGCCTTACAAGCCTGACTGTGCCAGGATCACCCAAACCCTCTTTGCTGCATTTTTTATTTTAATCTGTTAATAATATAAGCAGCAGCAGCATCATCATCATAATAATAGTGCCACTTATATAGCTCCACATTGAGAGCATTGTGTGTTACTCTAGTCAAACATGAAGCAGGAGAGCAGAGGAAGAAATTGGCAATGGCAGTAACTATTGCCCTGGAATAATTTCAACATGAGTAAGTCAAAAGTAAATGCATTTCTTCCGAAAATCATTACAGGATACGATTTGTAAAAGAATTTATATGGAATATAACGTAAGCTGGGCTTAAGGATATACGTTAATGTGAAATGGGTTAACGTCGCGTTCAAGATTATTTCTCTGCGACGTGCATTCATGTTGGTTTATGTGACCTCTTGTACTAGCACGGCTTTACAGTGCTAGCCCACTAAGATACCATGTCGCAATGTAATATGGATGCCCCACTCAGATAAAATGACCCTAAGACAGCCAGTCTATCTATCCCCTTAATGCAGAGCACCAGACAGGGTAAGAGCAAGTACTATCTTTCAACTTATTTTGGTTTGACTTTGACAAAGGATATCGAACATGTCCACACTAAGTCAGTAAATAAAAGCGACAAAACCCTTTCCATGTTCATAAGTTATGTCGGCTCAGAGTCGATTGTACGTTTTCGACTATATCATGAGCATGTGTTTATGAATCACTATGAAATAGTGATGTTACCAGATGTATCCTTCCCCAACGGTGACACCCGTCACAAACACCCGACAATGCAATTGTACACCTGAAAAAATCACGGGAACAAATACGGCTTATACAGTAATAATGTAGGTCACCAGAGGTCAAAAGGTCACGAAATTTGACCCCTGCTTAAAATATTACCGACTGTCAGAAAATACACTGCAGATACCACACCTATGGGACTTTCTTAACCCAAATGCGCTATGATTGAAGCCAAGAAGTACTCAATTCTGTTAAAAGTCTGAAAAAATGAAATTTATTGTTTTTTGTGGTGTGGTACAGAACGGTTTTTGATACATTTTAAGACAAATGTTGTTTTGCGCTAAAAGCAAACAAGATTTGAATGAAGTTGGACTTCTTGAAATGTGTCATTATGTTTTGATCCAAAACTACACCTATTGCTAATAGTGAGTGAGTTAGTATGGTTTTACGCCGCTTTTAGCAATATTCCAGCAATATCACGGCGGGGGACACCAGAAATGGGCTTCACACATTGTACCCATGTCGGGAATCGAACCCGGGTCTTCGGCGTGACGAGCTAACGCTTTAACCACTAGGCTACCCGACCGCCTCGGCTAATAGTCATGTCCTATATGTATTCAGATGTTGATTAGTTACATTTTGATGTAATTTGGTTACCACTCATCCAAGATGAACGCCATCTAGTACCATATATGAACATGGTTTTAACCAGAATATATTACAAAATATAACTCTTTCACAAATATGTTGAGTTAGAATAAAAAGAGAAGCATCTGGACCTTTATTCTGAAAAAGAAAAGACAACTTAATGTTTTGTACTAAAGTTGGATTTTGAGACAATAGCTCCTCCTAATGAGAACAAGAACAGGGATGTGAGTATAGAAAAAAAATTATGAAGGGAAACAATTGCTAATATTTAACACTTCTTAATATGTACATACCACACCAATGGGACTTTCCTGACCCAAATGGGCTATGATCGAGGTACCTAAGTTTATTAAAATTCTAAACAAGTGAAATTTATTGTCTTTTGTGGTGTGGTACAGAACGGTTATTGATGCATTTTAAAACAAATGTCATCATGCGCTAAAAACATGTAAAATTGTATGTGGACTGCTTGAAATATGTTTGCATTAATTTATAACTCTTAACTCCAAATTATAACAGCCATGTGCTAGATGTAGTCAGAAGTTGTTTTGATGCGACGTTGTTCTGTTTTTCCGGCTCACACGATTAAACTGAAGGTCAAATTGGGGTCAAATGGGATATGCGAACCGCAATAACTTAAAATGCAGTTATCTGTAATGTAATATTTCATAAGATCACACAATAAGACTATTTTTATCACATTAGTGTTAGAAACTTAAGTCTTGACATTGTAGACCTAAACAATGGTGGTCACATATGAGTCTGCTACTATAGAGTACACCGTTGATTACTCATCATCTGGACCATCATCAACATCACTCGCTTCAAATTAAACCTCGTCCTTAACTTCCTGATTGCTACATGTCTGTGATTTGCAATGGTATGCACATTTCATGTTATTCTGTAGGCAGGTACATCTGCAGCTACAACTCTCCTCTAAGCACTTCTTTAAACAGTTACAGTCCCCTTGTCAATAACCAAGGCCCCATCCTCCTCCTTCCAACCATTACCAACAGGAAAAGCCATCATTCTCCTTTTCCATACTGGATAATTGTCCCAGTTGCAATGGTTCTGCAGTGAAGAGGTGCAAGGAGGAAGCTGCTAAGATTCAGCTTCGCAAAACAGGTTGAACCGCAATTCACGAATTCTCAATGAGTGTCCTTGTGCTGTATAGACAGCACATTTGTGACTCTAGTGCCTTGAACAGCTGTGGTGAAACGTTCCAGCTTGTGCCTTAGAAAGTCAATGTGTTGCTGTGTATGTCGCTGGTGAGTAGCCTGAGGGCTGAAACCTTTCCTCTTCAAGTGAAGCAGCTAATAGTGGTGTACAAAGTTGAAACATCGAGTTCTTTTGTATTTTAATATTTTTTAACATTGCAGCACTGTCAGGAACACGTGACCTCTTCATGTATTCCGTTTTACCATCATAAATGCACATTCTGCTGTTCAACTGGAAATTGTGTAAGCCAGGCTCTGCAGCTGCTAGGTAAGATCTTAACATAGTTAAGGTATATAAAGGTAAAAAAAAGATAAGTTACATCCTTCAGTTACACTGTAGTAGATCCCGTTGCTGTTGGATAGACGTCGGATGGAAAAACAGTACGTTTATAACGAGATCAACTACTAATTTAATTCGTTATAACCGTAGTTCGTTATATGCATATATACAGCACATAAACAGCAAATCGACGGGACCCCAAAACAGGTATGTCATATCCATCATATCCATTATATGCGTGTTCGTTATAAACGTAGTTTACTGTAATGACTGAATGGCATAGTGGCATTATCTATAAGTTTGTTTAATGCCGCACTCAACAATAGTCTGGACCAGAAAATGATGGATCAACCAAAATCCCTACCCTGACTTCTCGATCCATAAGTCGCATCTTACGCCAAGCATAGGTTGTTGTGGACCAATAACCTCGAATCACTAAGTGGTCATGTTACTCATAACGGTGTAAAGAGTGAAAACGATATTGACACATGTGCCTTTCAGCAATTCGAAATTCTGATTTGTCACAGTGCTTCATGAAAAGTAGGCTGATTTCATTCTCGTTAGATCCGGTTTAGAATAGGTCTTCAGCAACCATACTTGCCGTAACAGGCGACTATGCTTGTCGCAAGAGGCGACTAACGGAATCGGGTGGTCAGGCTCGCTGACTTGGTTGATGCATGTCATCGTATCCCAATTGCGTGGATCGATGCTCATGATGTCAAACGCTTGATTGTCTGGTTCAGACTCGATTATTTACAGACCGCCGTCATATAGCTGGAATATTGCTGAGTGCGGCGTTAAACAACAAACAAACAAAAAATGTAATGGGATGAGTCATATATCGTCGCATGTTGTTTTGATGGAGTGTACCTAATATGATGACAAATGCAGCAGTCATCACCCCAGGAAGAAAAGTAGTGATTTCACTTCATCTGTATGTTTTTGTATACTGTACATTGCAATACGAGTGCGGCGTTAAACAACAAACAAACACACACTCGTCGAAGGGGTGACAGTGCGCCCGGGCAGACAATCCCCTACACCCAAGAGTGGTTACAGTGTATCCGCCCACTCAATCCCTCACCCTCTTAATGCCATCGGTGCAGTTGGTTTTCTTTTGATGGGTGATTTATTTTGATAGTTTTCTAATTCTTTATTACATTCTTATGTTTCTGTTAGACACGTCTCATAATCCCACACCAACCGCATATCACCAATCTACTACATCTACGCCAGCAACAACGTCGACAGGTGGAATGATATCACGGTCGACTCATCTACCAGGTATGGACAAGTGTGACTTACTTATCAGCATGACATATACGTGTCAGAGACAAGTGTGTCAGATAAGAGTGAGTGAATGAGTATGGTTTTACGCCGCGTTTAGCAATATTCCAGCAATATCACGGCGGGGGACACCAGAAATGGGCTTCACACATTGTACCCACGTCGGGAATCGAACCCGGGTCTTGATCTTGACGAGCGACAGTGTCAGAGACACGTGTTAGAGACGCGTCTGGGGAAGTGTCCGAGATAAGCGTGTCAGTGATAAGTGTGACAGATACGTGTGGCAGAAAGGTATGACAGATACGTGTCAGAGATAAGTAAACTGACGTCCAAAAGAAACTTTACCAGAGTTTGAAATCACTCTTGCTCAAAAACAACAAAACATACATGCATGAAGTAAAGTGTATTGAGAAGATGAATATATCAACATAATCAACACTGAAAATGACAATCATACCGCGACCGAGAATAACGTCAGAGCCCCCCAAAGTTGGGTGTAATACAAAACTCGAGCTTTCAGAATCATGGACAATAGGCAGAGTACATAAACAATCGCTCACGTTCAATAACAAGTCATTAGTAGCGTGTGTGACCACCAGATGCCTCAATACACGCAAAAACTCTTCGATGCACAGAAAAAGTCAGTCGTCTGATGAGGTCACATGGGATTTGACGCCATTCTTCTTGGAGGGCCAAGAACAGTTCTTGCCGGTTGGCTGGAGAGTGTGGTCGTTGTCGAACACGACGATCCATCAAGTCCCAGAGGTGTTCTATTGGGGACATGTCGGGTGAGCGTGCGGGCCACGGCAGGACGTTGACGTTGTTAGCTGCGAGGAAGTTAGTGACAATTCTTGCTGTTTGGGCTCTAGCGTTGTCATGCTGATAAATGACACCACGTAGCTGCTGTTGGAGAAATGGTAGGACAACTGGACGAAGAACGTTATCCATGTAACGCTGAGCTGTCAAGTTTCCGTCAACGATGACCAGCGGTGTCCTCTCCTGCCCACTGATCCCTCCCCACACCATGACACTACCTCCACCATATGGTACGACCTCCTGCACGCAACACGCCGCCGTTCGTTCACCCCTTCGGCGATAAACACGTTGTCTTCCATCAGCCCTAAACATACAGAATCGACTTTCGTCAGTGAACCCTCTGCCAGTCACGTCGTTGCCAACGTCGTACAGTCCAGGCCCTTCTCAATCGCAGACGACGATGTTGCGCTGTCAATATCTGTCCTCTGTATGGTCTAAAAGGTCTAAAAGCCCTGATTCCAAGAGCCCTGAGTCTCCCTGCCACTGTCTGTCGACTAACCCTGTGACCTAAGGCATTTATCGCCGATGACGTCACTGTCAGGAAGCGATTTCGGAGGTGCAAGGTAACGTTGCATCAAGTTGGTAACGGCAACACGGGAGCAACCGCAGGTTCGTGCAATATGGGCGTGGGTGGCTCCCATCTGTACCATACCCAAGGCTCGTTCACGTTGTTCGACTGTGAGTCGTGGCATTTCTTTTGTGTTTTTTTTATCACTGTGGATGTCTGACTTGCCGTTGCAATCGTTTTATACCCTTACCCGCACGTGCATTTGCAGTTGTCCGTGGTACACGTGTTTTTCACTTTTTCGCGTGTTATCTCGCATGTAACAGACGATTAACATTTTCTGCATACACTATTGATGTATTTAGGTTATGTGTTTTAGATAGATTTCATCGGGGGAAGAAATATACTTTGTCTGAAATTTATATTTTCAGTTGGTAGAGTTTCTTTTGGACGTCAGTTTATGACGGATACGTGTCAGAGATAAGTATGACATATACGTGTGACAGATAGGTATGACAGATACGTGTCAGAGATAGGTATGAAAGATACGTGTCAGAGATAAGTATGACAGATACGTGTCAGAGATAAGTATGACATATACGTGTCAGAGATAAGTATGACAGAAACGTGTCAGAGATAAGCGTGACTAGACGTGTCAGAGATAAGTGTGACTTATACATGTCAGAGATAAGTGTGACTTATACGTATCAGAGATAAGTATGACAGATACGTGTCAGAGATAAGTATGACAGATACGTGTCAGAGATAAGTATGACATATACGATTCAGAAATAAATATGACAGATAAGTAGGACCTATACGTGTCAGAGATAAGTGTGACTTATACATGTCAGAGATAAGTGTGACTTATACGTATCAGAGATAAGTATGACAGATACGTGTCAGAGATAAGTATGACAGATACGTGTCAGAGATAAGTATGACATATACGATTCAGAAATAAATATGACAGATAAGTAGGACCTATACGTGTCAGAGATAAGTATGACAGATACGTGTGACAATTAAGTATGACAGATGCGTGTCAGAGATCAGTTTAACACATACGTGTCACAGATAGATAGATAGATAGATAGATAGATAGATAGATAGATAGATAGATAGGTCAGAAAAAAGTATTTCATATACGTGTCAGAGATAAGCGTGACTTATACGTGTAAGGGATAAGTATGATTTATACGTATCAGAAATAAGTATGACATATACGTATCAGAGATAAGTATGACATATACGTGTCAGAGATAAGTATGTTAGATACGTGTCAGAGATAAGTATGACATATACGTGTCAGAGATAAGTATGTTAGATACGTGTCAGAGATAAGTATGACATATACGTGTCAGAGATAAGTATGACAGATATGTGTGACAATTAAGTATAACAGATGCGTGTCAGAGATAAGTATGACATATACGTGTCAGAGATAAGTATGTTAGATACGTGTCAGAGATAAGTGTGACTTATACATGTCAGAGATAAGTATGACAGATACGTGTCAGAGATAAGTATGACAGATACGTGTCAGAGAAACGCGTGACTTATACGAGTCAGAGATAAGTATGACATATACGATTCAGAAATAAATATGACAGATAAGTAGGACCTATACGTGTCAGAGATAAGTATGACAGATACGTGTGACAATTAAGTATGACAGATGCGTGTCAGAGATCAGTTTAACACATACGTGTCACAGATAGCTTTCAGAATCATGGACAATAGGCAGAGTACATAAACAATCGCTCACGTTCAATAACAAGTCATTAGTAGCGTGTGTGACCACCAGATGCCTCAATACACGCAAAAACTCTTCGATGCACAGAAAAAGTCAGTCGTCTGATGAGGTCACATGGGATTTGACGCCATTCTTCTTGGAGGGCCAAGAACAGTTCTTGCCGGTTGGCTGGAGAGTGTGGTCGTTGTCGAACACGACGATCCATCAAGTCCCAGAGGTGTTCTATTGGGGACATGTCGGGTGAGCGTGCGGGCCACGGCAGGACGTTGACGATGTTAGCTGCGAGGAAGTTAGTGACAATTCTTGCTGTTTGGGCTCTAGCGTTGTCATGCTGATAAATGACACCACGTAGCTGCTGTTGGAGAAATGGTAGGACAACTGGACGAAGAACGTTATCCATGTAACGCTGAGCTGTCAAGTTTCCGTCAACGATGACCAGCGGTGTCCTCTCCTGCCCACTGATCCCTCCCCACACCATGACACTACCTCCACCATATGGTACGACCTCCTGCACGCAACACGCCGCCGTTCGTTCACCCCTTCGGCGATAAACACGTTGTCTTCCATCAGCCCTAAACATACAGAATCGACTTTCGTCAGTGAACCCTCTGCCAGTCACGTCGTTGCCAACGTCGTACAGTCCAGGCCCTTCTCAATCGCAGACGACGATGTTGCGCTGTCAATATCTGTCCTCTGTATGGTCTAAAAGGTCTAAAAGCCCTGATTCCAAGAGCCCTGAGTCTCCCTGCCACTGTCTGTCGACTAACCCTGTGACCTAAGGCATTTATCGCCGATGACGTCACTGTCAGGAAGCGATTTCGGAGGTGCAAGGTAACGTTGCATCAAGTTGGTAACGGCAACACGGGAGCAACCGCAGGTTCGTGCAATATGGGCGTGGGTGGCTTCCATCTGTACCATACCCAAGGCTCGTTCACGTTGTTCGACTGTGAGTCGTGGCATTTCTTTTGTGTTTTTTTTATCACTGTGGATGTCTGACTTGCCGTTGCAATCGTTTTATACCCTTACCCGCACGTGCATTTGCAGTTGTCCGTGGTACACGTGTTTTTCACTTTTTCGCGTGTTATCTCGCATGTAACAGACGATTAACATTTTCTGCATACACTATTGATGTATTTAGGTTATGTGTTTTAGATAGATTTCATCGGGGGAAGAAATATACTTTGTCTGAAATTTATATTTTCAGTTGGTAGAGTTTCTTTTGGACGTCAGTTTATGACGGATACGTGTCAGAGATAAGTATGACATATACGTGTGACAGATAGGTATGACAGATACGTGTCAGAGATAGGTATGAAAGATACGTGTCAGAGATAAGTATGACAGATACGTGTCAGAGATAAGTATGACATATACGTGTCAGAGATAAGTATGACAGAAACGTGTCAGAGATAAGCATGACGTATACGTGTCAGAGATAAGTGTGACTTATACATGTCAGAGATAAGTGTGACTTATACGTATCAGAGATAAGTATGACAGATACGTGTCAGAGATAAGTATGACAGATACGTGTCAGAGATAAGTATGACATATACTATTCAGAAATAAATATGACAGATAAGTAGGACCTATACGTGTCAGAGATAAGTGTGACTTATACATGTCAGAGATAAGTGTGACTTATACGTATCAGAGATAAGTATGACAGATACGTGTCAGAGATAAGTATGACAGATACGTGTCAGAGATAAGTATGACATATACGATTCAGAAATAAATATGACAGATAAGTAGGACCTATACGTGTCAGAGATAAGTATGACAGATACGTGTGACAATTAAGTATGACAGATGCGTGTCAGAGATCAGTTTAACACATACGTGTCACAGATAGATAGATAGATAGATAGATAGATAGATAGATAGATAGATAGATAGGTCAGAAAAAAATATTTCATATACGTGTCAGAGATAAGCGTGACTTATACGTGTAAGGGATAAGTATGATTTATACGTATCAGAAATAAGTATGACATATACGTATCAGAGATAAGTATGACATATACGTGTCAGAGATAAGTATGTTAGATACGTGTCAGAGATAAGTATGACATATACGTGTCAGAGATAAGTATGTTAGATACGTGTCAGAGATAAGTATGACATATACGTGTCAGAGATAAGTATGACAGATATGTGTGACAATTAAGTATAACAGATGCGTGTCAGAGATAAGTAGGACCAATACGTGTCAGAGATAAGTATGACATATACGTGTGACAGATAGGTATGACAGATACGTGTCAGAGATAGGTATGAAAGATACGTGTCAGAGATAAGTATGACAGATACGTGTCAGAGATAAGTATGACAGATACGTGTCAGAGATAAGTATGACAGATACGTGTCAGAGATAAGCGTGACGTATACGTGTCAGAGATAAGTGTGACTTATACATGTCAGAGAGAAGTGTGACTTATACGTATCAGAGATAAGTATGACAGATACGTGTCAGAGATAAGTATGACAGATACGTGTCAGAGATAAGTATGTCAGATACGTGTCAGAGATAAGCGTGACTTATACATGTCAGAGATAAGTGTAACTTATACGTATCAGAGATAAGTATGACAGATACGTGTCAGAGATAAGTATGACAGATACGTGTCAGAGATAAGTATGACAGATACGTGTCAGAGATAAGCATGACTTATACGTCTCAGAGATAAGTTTGACGTATACGTGTCAGAGATAAGTGTGACTTATACATGTCAGAGATAAGTATGACAGTAGGTGTCAGAGATAAGTATGACAGATACGTGTCAGAGAAACGCGTGACTTATACGAGTCAGAGATAAGTATGACATATACGATTCAGAAATAAATATGACAGATAAGTAGGACCTATACGTGTCAGAGATAAGTATGACAGATACGTGTGACAATTAAGTATGACAGATGCGTGTCAGAGATCAGTTTAACACATACGTGTCACAGATAGATAGATAGATAGATAGATAGATAGATAGATAGATAGATAGGTCAGAAAAAGTATTTCATATACGTGTCAGAGATAAGCGTGACTTATATGTGTAAGGGATAAGTATGATTTATACGTATCAGAAATAAGTATGACATATACGTATCAGAGATAAGTATGACATATACGTGTCAGAGATAAGTATGTTAGATACGTGTCAGAGATAAGTATGACATATACGTGTCAGAGATAAGTATGTTAGATACGTGTCAGAGATAAGTATGACATATACGTGTCAGAGATAAGTATGACAGATATGTGTGACAATTAAGTATAACAGATGCGTGTCAGAGATAAGTAGGGATCAGTATGACAGATACGTGTCAGAGATAAGTAGGACCAATACGTGTCAGAGATAAGTATGACAGATACGTGTCAGAGATAAGTATGTTAGATACGTGTCAGAGATAAGTATGAAATATACGTGTCAGAGATAAGTATGTTAGATACGTGTCAGAGATAAGTATGAAATATACGTGTCAGAGATAAGTATGTTAGATACGTGTCAGAGATAAGTTTGACATATACGTGTCAGATATAAGTATGTTAGATACGTGTCAGAGATAAGTATGTTAGATACGTGTCAGAGATAAGTATGACATATACGTGTCAGAGATAAGTATGACAGATATGTGTGACAATTAAGTATAACAGATGCGTGTCAGAAATAAGTAGGGATCAGTATGACAGATACGTGTCAGAGATAAGTAGGACCTATACGTGTCAGAGATAAGTATGACAGATACGTGTGACAATTAAGTATAACAGATGCGTGTCAGAGATAAGTAGGGATCAGTATGACAGATACGTGTCAGAGATAAGTATGACATGTACGTGTCAGAGATAAGTATGACAGATAAGTAGGACCTATACGTGTCAGAGATAAGTATGACAGATACGTGTGACAATTAAGTATGACAGATGCGTGTCAGAGATCAGTTTAACATATACGTGTCACAGATAGGTATGACAGATACGTGTGACAGTTAAGTATGACAGATGCGTGTCAGAGATAAGTAGGACATATACGAATCAGGGATCAGTAATTCAGTATGACAGATACGTGTCAGACATAAGTATGACATGTACGTGTCAGAGATAAGTATGACAGATAAGTAGGACCTATACGTGTCAGAGATAAGTATGACAGATACGTGTGACAATTAAGTATGACAGATGCGTGTCTGAGATCAGTTTAACATATACGTGTCACAGATAGGTATGACAGATACGTGTGACAGTTAAGTATGACAGATGCGTGTCAGAGATAAGTAGGACATATACGAATCAGGGATCAGTAATTCAGTATGACAGATACGTGTCAGAGATAAGTATGACATGTACGAATCAGAAATAAATATGACATACGCGTCAGAGATAAGTATGACATACACGTGTCAGATACATGCGTGAGATAGAATAGAGATAGATAGTGACAGTGCGCCCGGGCAGACAATCCCCTACATCCAAGGGTGGTTACAGCGTATCCGCCCACTCAATCCCTCACCCTCTTAATGCTGTCGGTGCAGTTGGTTTTCATTTGAAGGAAATTGTATGACGATACTTCTGACAAAGCCTCCATTGGAGGTCAGAAAAATTGATGGGTGATTTTGTATATATAGTTTTCTAATTCTACATTTTTCTGTTAGACACGTCTCATAATCCCACACCAACCGCATCTACTACATCTACACCAGCAACAACGTCGACAGGTGGAATGACATCACGGTCGACTCATCTACCGGGTATGGACAAGTGTGACTTATAAGCATGACATATATATGTGAGAGAAAAGTGTGTCAGATAAGAGTGTAGATACCTGTCAGATACATGTGTGAGATATAATAGTGATAGATAATGTCAGAGACACGTGTTAGAGACGCGTCTAAGGGAGTGTCAGAGATAAGCGTGTCAGTGATACGTGAGACAGATAAGTATGACATATAAGTGCCAGAGCTCAGTATGACATATATATATATATATATATATATATATATATATATATATATATATATATATATATAATAAAATAATAAAGTCCACGTTAGTCCATCATCTTCTTTATATCAGTTTCAGACATAGTACTTTCGCTGTCTCAGCTCTTCAGTGTAACTGACAATGACATATAATATGACGTCATACTTATGATGACGTCATAAATTACAACTGTGACGTCATAATGTATTTACACACTCCAGCGACGACACCAAGTAATTTAACAATTGTAGGGAGACATTTGAATTAAAATATACAGTATTTGTATTTGTATATTTTAATTCAAATGTCTCCCTACAATTGTTAAATTATAACTCGCGTGAAAACCTCTATATATCCCGTCTACAACAGCTATGTCACAGTCCATTATTCTGAAGGTATTGTTGTAACTCAGTAGTAACAATTAATCTCGATCAAAACAGATATTTTATTTCAATTCTATACCCCTCTTTGTCAATATGTGACAAACGCTGCATGAAGAGGTCACGTCGCGTTCGTTTAACGCAATTTTGATTGGACTATGCATAGACTCGTTGGTCCAGCCAAAATATGACTCCATAATTCCAGGCAAGTTCGGCAAGGGTGGAAACTGGACTTTTACAGTCAGTTAACTCCCTTGCCTCGAGATCATTCACAATTACACACAACATTAAAAACATTTACCCGTACCTAAATATTAATGACTCCCTGAATACAATCCGACCTCGGCAATGTCGGACAAGTCCATTTTATGTACAGAGGAGGTAAGTTTGGTATTCTCACAATTGTCACGTCGATTATGTCGGCAAGGATGCAAGGAGCGTGGCATCGTCAGGTCTTCCCAGCCACTACGCCCGCGTGGGCATAAGCTGCTACAAAATGGACTACAAAGATAGGTACTACGTCAGCCGTTCAACTCCCCTTAAATTAACCCACCCACTAAGTTCCTAAATATATCAATTTACCCACAATAATCCCCAGTCGACCCAAACAGAAACTTACGACTGTCGTTGCGCTACAGTTTATCTCTTCACGGGCAAGTAATAAATCTATATTGTAGATATCGCTCAATGAAATTGCATCACAATGCTTTGCAGACCATTGTGAAGTCATTGGTTAACATGACGTCACAATCAAATGAAATCACTAAAGGCTCTGCTACTGAAGCTGTTTTACACTAAACACACTGCTTATTACTGTCTACAAACTGAAAAAGTTGGAAGAATGATAGATGATAAATAATATCTCACCCTCGTATCTTTTGTTGATATTTGATATCAAAAGACACTCGGGTGAGATTCTCTTTTTATCAATTGCATGTCAGTTACCACCAAGCCAGTTGACCCCTGTCAAGACCACGACCCTATCTGCAGCACCATGATGGGCATCTGCAGCAGCTCGGTCGGACGTTATATGTGCGGGAAGACATGTAATTCTTGCTCAACAGGTTGGTATGTTTCTTATCATGTCACAGCCTAAATTAATGTCCTCATGTATGACATATGACATGTATGCATGACACATGACCTCTTGATGGATGACATCCCCTTTCTGGTGTCCACCTCCATGGCACTGCTGGAAGAGTAAATTCATATTGTTTCTCTATAAGTGAGATGAGGTGAAATGGGGTTTAACGTCGCGTCCAAGATCAATGCACCTATAAAGCGATGTGCATGCACGTGTGTGTGGCTGCTTGTACTTGTCCGGACTGATGCCGATTTATAGTGCTAGCACACATTTCGAGCCAACTGAGATACCATGCCGCAGTTTAACATGAATACCCCACTCAGACACAGTATGCTAGCTGACTTCGAGCCGACCAGTCCTTGTTTTAGCCCCTTAATGCCGAGCAGGGTAATGAAACAGAGTTAGTTTTTACACTAAAACCAAAACAGAGAAATTGCTCGTGAACTGTAATTTAGAAATGAATATAGATACTGCTATAGGAAAGCCTGTTTCATTATAACTATTCTACAACATAAAACTACTACGTTATCTGTAGCGTCCAAATTATGCTAAAAGTATAGTATCTGAGATATTCTATACAGCGTCCATTCATCTTACCGAATGGAAGTAATATGCATAAATTGGAAAACATAAATTTATCAGGCATTGCTTAATTTGTGTGCATTTATCTAGAACAAAAAGTTACGTTCAAGTATTGTAGTCTAGTGATATGCCCTCACAAAGTAGTTACCTAATGAGAAATATATTTTGGGCTACAGATAAGAATAATATACTTTGCTGTACTTGCACTGATCTGGTTTTGTATATAAAGAATATATTTGATGCATGAACATCGGATATAAGTTATATTCTTGAACCGTATTTATCAGGCATAAGAACGCAAACAAATATACATAACGTAAATTATATCGAGTAACTGGATCATGTTAATGCATATTGACGCATTTAACGTTGTTGCATTATAAAACCACTCTACTAACGATACAGCATACAATAAGGTAAATAACACGACACACATATGAATAGTGGTCCTACCGATACATGGACAAATAATTCATACATTATTATAATGCACGCTGTTCACATTAAAACATGATAATTATGAAGCATCCACGACACCTGTGATTACTAATTACAAATGTATTTGCCTAGTAGTTTTAACCCGATAAGTAAACATGTGGGATACGAACGCTGATTGTGGAATAGTAATATTTCTACATGCGACGCACGCATATAAAGTACTGTAGTTAATTTGTGTCAGTAAAACTTGAATAATATGCAGCTTAGATTCGCACGGCATTTCGAATACATAGAGTATAAGTTCATTGTTCAAGCAAGATATTCATACAAAATTAAAGACAATTTTAAAAGACAATTTTAAGCAAAGTTCAACCTAAATGCCAAAGTAACAACTTACCTTCAAAGACAAACAGAGAGAGGTTCTCAGGCAAAGCAGGAATGACTAACAGTCGATTTCCCCCTATATTTATACCTGAGACCTCCTTTGTTAATCTGAAGGCAAGTCTACACGAGCATGTCCAGTTTGAAATTTGAGACTTTGGACTAATAAAGACTGGACATGTTATACAATTTTGTATGATGGGTTTGGTCTGTTAATAGCCAAAGCCCACGGTCAGTTTGGAAAGTTGCGTAATAGAAGATTATAAATGCCGATAGAATCACTCAGCTCGTGTTTGGTTTCGCGTTTTCAATTTTCTAGTTTGGTCAGTTGACGCTAAATAGCTGATAACGGTACACTGGTAAGTGCCGAACGCGCTGACCACTACTAGTTGTTATTCAACATGTAATTAAAGCCTCGCCCGCCGACCTGATCGTGGCGGCGTAAATCTGAAGTGCCAGATGTTGGTCTGCAATTTCTTATCGCTAGTATGTACCAACAGGTCTTAAATGGTTAACCGACAACTTATGAATTGAAGGCGAATTTCACAAAAAGTTGAATAAAATATAGCAATTTTAGCACTGTTACAATATCCCTGTGCGTCGTGGAGCTTTTGACCTCAAAAGCTTGAAGTAACATCAGGTAAAATAATGGTAGTTAAAGTCTAAGTGTACAAACATAAGATATGATCACATCTAAGAACATGACAACAATGATACGTACTGTTCAGAATGCCCAAATCTAATATGTACATTCAATAAGTATAGAAATACATATTGCAACAACTAAAATTGAGGTAGAAGTGATGTCGGGTCCACTACCTTATAATATCCATTGTGAACTAGAAGGACATAGGCAGTGAATGGCTGTTTAAAGAGTCGCTGCAGCTTTTGGGCTGTAAAGAATGATATCTGAATTGTTGAGGGAACGGTAAGGGATGTGCTAGTAAGTTTATTTGTTACTATAAAGTCTGTCCAATCAACTGACAGAGTGGGAAATAAACGAGAATAGCCTCAGGATAATCAGACTCCATGATGAACCTTAGAGAAACGAAAGAGAACATGGGACCATTAGATGAGACGACCTGGTTGAGCATGATGTTCTGGCCAGCAACATCTGAACAACCTAGCACTATGAGACACAGAAACGACGTAACTGTAAGAAGGGGTGGTCATTCAACATCTAAGGCAACAGTTAGAAACTTCTCAAAGATAGGTGGGAGCTGATGAAACCTTGGTGTATTAGTTAAAGTATTTTCGCCCATTTTTGCGCCTTTTCCCGGACATGGTTCTAGATCTATGGAAGTGTTGGATTAGGTCCTGACTGAGATTGAGGGATGGTTCCCAAGTGGTTTTGGAGTAACCTAACCATTTGATGTGATAGTGTTTGGTGCCGTTGACAACTTTGCATTCAAGAATCTTGTCAACAGTATATGTTTGGTCATCTTGAGATGTGGTGTCTGGCTGCTGTGAGAAGCCGGTATCTGACTGAGATGTAGATGGTGTACTGCCTTGATCAGAGATATATGGCTGTGACTGGACCATCTGTGTGTCAGGATGTGTGTCAACATCATTGCTTGGAACCGGAGGTTGACATCTTTGGTCTTGGACAGTCTATTGTTGGGATGTGTGTAGGCAAAGTGAGGTTTTAATCTTGGAAATCCTACCACCAGGAAGTTGCCTCTTCTTGCCCAGTGAACGGCCGGAGTTTGACATGTGGAGCTGCCATTTCACTCCAATCAGCTTCAGCAGAGGAAGATGAGATTGATGGTGGTGATGATGATGATGAGGAGGAGGAGGATGCTCTTGTCACAGCCACTGATGACCTTTGGCTTGGTGCTGATGGTGTTGTCAGTGACGGTGAGGATGGTAAAGGTGAAACCTGTTTAAGCAAACTGGTCAGGATCGACCTTGGCTCGGGCCTTCGAAGCTTCTCCCTGTAGTTCTGAGGTGTGGCACCGGTCATCTAGGATTTAAGCTCCACCAATTGAAACAGAGTTAGTTTTTACACTAAAACTGATCAAAACCTAGAATGCTTTCGGGGGGAATTAGCCACGGGATCAACACACCTTCAAAGACAAACAGAGAGAGGTTCTCAGGCAAAGCAGGAATCTTTATTAAATGTTTTCATCATCATCAAGCATATAGACATAGTCAGACAATCTCCTTCATCATCAAACACAAAGACATAATCAGACAAATAATGAAGCAGTGATACAAAAACTGTTAAGATATTCTTTGTCATATAATAGACATGCGTTAATAAACAATTGCTTGTTATGTGATCTCACTTTGAGAACAATGCATTAACTTCAGAGACGTCTCAGTACCTATTCAAGTTACAGCATAAGATTACGTAACACATTTATAATTAAAATACCATTTGTAAAATAATAACAAAGTGTAAAGTGTAAGCTCAACTCATTGGATATTCATTTATATTATAGCAGTAAACATTTGATATAATGCAGACATTATAATCAATTCAAATTAAATTACTCATTGATAATTACTCATAATGTTTGATATATATATTTAAGGTACTCATAAATAACATCTGAACAATGTTTACAAAAAGCAATCATATGAAAGATTATAACAACACCTTTCTTGAACAATGACATGTCTAATGACTTATTTTACATTAAATACGGTAATGTGACGTCATGAACTATAGCTGATTCAGGTGTACACTCCAGAGTTAAATAGTGAACACAAGATTTAATACGGTAAATAATAATGGGACCTGCATTCAATGACTGAATACATTATAGTAAATTCAGATAACAGCTATGCGCAAAAATGATTAAATACGGTACGTGACGTCACTGCCGAGCGCTGGTGAGTGTGCCGTTATATAACAATGAGCGGTGCCGCCTGTGCATGCCGTGCTATGTGGGCCGAGCTTATACAAATCACACATGAATGAATACCGTATTTGAAACTTGAAATATATATGAATTAAAAACTGATTATTAGTGAAAGTATGTTCTATTGTGAATGTTTATGAACCTTATTGGAGATTTCGCCAAAACAGAGAAATTGCTCGTGAACTGTAATTTAGAAATGAATATAGATACTGCTATAGGAAAGCCTGTTTCATTATAACTATTCTACAACATAAAACTACTACGTTATCTGTAGCGTCCAAATTATGCTAAAAGTATAGTATCTGAGATATTCTATACAGCGTCCATTCATCTTACCGAATGGAAGTAATATGCATAAATTGGAAAACATAAATTTATCAGGCATTGCTTAATTTGTGTGCATTTATCTAGAACAAAAAGTTACGTTCAAGTATTGTAGTCTAGTGATATGCCCTCACAAAGTAGTTACCTAATGAGAAATATATTTTGGGCTACAGATAAGAATAATATACTTTGCTGTACTTGCACTGATCTGGTTTTGTATATAAAGAATATATTTGATGCATGAACATCGGATATAAGTTATATTCTTGAACCGTATTTATCAGGCATAAGAACGCAAACAAATATACATAACGTAAATTATATCGAGTAACTGGATCATGTTAATGCATATTGACGCATTTAACGTTGTTGCATTATAAAACCACTCTACTAACGATACAGCATACAATAAGGTAAATAACACGACACACATATGAATAGTGGTCCTACCGATACATGGACAAATAATTCATACATTATTATAATGCACGCTGTTCACATTAAAACATGATAATTATGAAGCATCCACGACACCTGTGATTACTAATTACAAATGTATTTGCCTAGTAGTTTTAACCCGATAAGTAAACATGTGGGATACGAACGCTGATTGTGGAATAGTAATATTTCTACATGCGACGCACGCATATAAAGTACTGTAGTTAATTTGTGTCAGTAAAACTTGAATAATATGCAGCTTAGATTCGCACGGCATTTCGAATACATAGAGTATAAGTTCATTGTTCAAGCAAGATATTCATACAAAATTAAAGACAATTTTAAAAGACAATTTTAAGCAAAGTTCAACCTAAATGCCAAAGTAACAAGTAAAAGTGACTTACCTTCAAAGACAAACAGAGAGAGGTTCTCAGGCAAAGCAGGAATGACTAACAGTCGATTTCCCCCTATATTTATACCTGAGACCTCCTTTGTTAATCTGAAGGCAAGTCTACACGAGCATGTCCAGTTTGAAATTTGAGACTTTGGACTAATAAAGACTGGACATGTTATACAATTTTGTATGATGGGTTTGGTCTGTTAATAGCCAAAGCCCACGGTCAGTTTGGAAAGTTGCGTAATAGAAGATTATAAATGCCGATAGAATCACTCAGCTCGTGTTTGGTTTCGCGTTTTCAATTTTCTAGTTTGGTCAGTTGACGCTAAATAGCTGATAACGGTACACTGGTAAGTGCCGAACGCGCTGACCACTACTAGTTGTTATTCAACATGTAATTAAAGCCTCGCCCGCCGACCTGATCGTGGCGGCGTAAATCTGAAGTGCCAGATGTTGGTCTGCAATTTCTTATCGCTAGTATGTACCAACAGGTCTTAAATGGTTAACCGACAACTTATGAATTGAAGGCGAATTTCACAAAAAGTTGAATAAAATATAGCAATTTTAGCACTGTTACAGTAACAATAAGTACCATCTTTTAACGTCTGTTAGTATGACGCGGCCGGGGATCGAAACCCGACGCTTTCCGGGGGGACGCTCTACCACTAGACCACGGAGACGGTCTACTCTATGGAATGCGACCTCTGCATTGCATTTGTTTGACATGACTTGTGTCCATGACGTACATGTATGAGATATGACCACTATGTGGCAGGTACTATCAAGCCAGTTGACCCCTGTCAAGACCACGACCCTATCTGCAGCACCATGATGGACATCTGCAGCAACCCGGTCGGACGTTATATGTGCGGGAAGACGTGTAATTCTTGCTCAACAGGTTGGTATGTTTCTTGTCATGTCACAGCCTAAATGTCCTCTGTAAGTATGACATATGACATGTATGCATGACACATTACCTCTTGATAGATGAAATCCCATTTTTGGTGACCCCCGCCGAGATATTGAGTGATTGAGTATGGTTTTACGCTGCTTTTAGCAATATTCCAGCAATATCACGGCGGGGGACACCAGAAATGGGCTTCACACATTGTACCCATGTCGGGAATCGAACCCGGGTCTTCGGCGTGCCGAGCGAACCCTTTAACCACTAGGCTACCCGACCGCCCCTCGCCGAGAAATTGCTGGAATATTGCTAAAAGCGGCGTAAAACATGCTCTCACTCACATGTATGACATTACATCTGAACGCATTACCTCTTTATGTATGATATGACTTCCGTATACTTTTAAGTATGTATACCCTACCGCTTTGGTGCAATCCACGAGCATGGATATGTTGCTGAGAAACAAATAAAATAATCAGGGATTCGAACCCAAGCTCTTTCTTTTCTGAGATATGACCTCTGTGTGTCAGGTACTACCAAGCCAGTTGACCCCTGTCAAGACCACGACCCTGTCTGTACCACCATCGTTGGAATCTGCAACAACCCAATCGGACCTCATATGTGCGGGAAGACATGCAACTCCTGTTCAACAGGTTGGTGCGTCACTTGTAACAGTAGGCGGTGTAGTATGGTAATCAGAACGACAGAACGACCCCGTGAAGATCAGGTTGGAATTGGTCTTCAGCAACCCCTTCTTGTAAAAGGCGACTGACGGGATCGGGTGGTCAGGCTCACTGACTTGGTTGGTGCATGTAATCGTATCCCAATAGCGTAGAGCGATGCTCTTCGTGTCAATCACTGGATTGTGGTCAGGCTCACTGACTTGGTTGGTGCATGTAATCGTATCCCAATAGCGTAGATCGATGCTCTTCGTGTCAATCACTGGATTGTGGTCAGGCTCACTGACTTGGTTGGTGCATGTAATCGTATCCCAATAGCGTAGAGCGATGCTCTTCGTGTCAATCACTGGATTGTGGTCAGGCTCACTGACTTGGTTGGTGCATGTAATCGTATCCCAATAGCGTAGAGCGATGCTCTTCGTGTCAATCACTGGATTGTGGTCAGGCTCACTGACTTGGTTGGTGCATGTAATCGTATCCCAATAGCGTAGATCGATGCTCTTCGTGTCAATCACTGGATTGTGGTCAGGCTCACTGACTTGGTTGATGCATGTAATCGTATCCCAATAGCGTAGAGCGATGCTCTTCGTGTCAATCACTGGATTGTGGTCAGGCTCACTGACTTGGTTGATGCATGTAATCGTATCCCAATAGCGTAGAGAGATGCTCTTCGTGTCAATCGCTGGATTGTCTGCTCCAGACTCGATTAGTAACATATCGCCGCCATATAGCTCAAATATTGCTGAGTGCGGATTTAAACAATAATTAAATAAACAAACAAACAAACAAAGACGTCACGCGTAGATGTGCTGTTATCATGTTTGTTGGACAATGCGCACCAACCATTGATACGTGGATTCGTGTAAGCAGGCCATAAGGCGTACCCGCACAATGTTAGTTCATTATGACACACGAGAAGGACGTGCAGTGAAACACTTTTAATAAGGACAGTTGTGTTCAAAATTAAGTTCCAAGTTCCAAATCTCGTGTCAGAATTCTTGTAGTAGCTTCGATCTCATTCGGGAAATACCCGAATGCTGACACTCGTTCCGTAAAATCTGTATGAGACACGTGTGTTTTGAACAGTGACATAAGAAATATCCTTTGTTTATCTAAAATATACTTCATATGTTAAACATTTTAACGAATACCTGGTATTTGATAGTGATTCATAAACACATGCTCATGATATAGTCGGAATCGAACAATCATCTCCGTGTTTGGCAAGACGTAGGCATCCCCATGGACACCAATTGACCCATGATTGGGGGCATGATACGCTCACCTTTTCGCGAAACACCCGAATCATCGTCATTTGATAGTGATTCATAAACATATGCTCATGATATAGTCGGAATCGAACAATCATCTCCATGTTTGGCAGAGAGTTCATATGATAAGAATATACCGATCTACTATGCTGGTCGTAAGAGGCGACTTTAAATATCAGGTGGTCAGTCTCTGTAACAAGGTTGATGGCCTGTCTTCGTATCGGATCGATGCTCGTGGTATCAATTATTTACAGATATCTGGAATCAAAGAGCCAGAATATTGGTGAGTGTGGCGTTAAAATAAACAAACTGTATATGACAGCAATAATACCAATTATACCCCCATCTCTCAACTTCTTTATGGGTTCTTCCAACATGTATGATGTTACGTCACACTTCTACAGCTGCGTTCTGCGACAACTATAACAGGTAACGTCATTGCCGCCTTCAACCATTGACATCACCATCTCTGCTTCAGTCGCTAAAACTGCCTCTACATATCGCACCACAGCTGCCGCTACAACTGGCATACCATCTGCACCTACCACCACATCTGCTACTACAACTGCTACTACACCGGCTGCCAAGTCGGGCTCATCATCGTCAACGATCAGTGTATCAACCCTCTCTGTCAGCACACCACCTGCAGCCACCAACGGCAACACTTCCGCCCATGTAACTACGGCCTCAGCAAGGACGTCCACCACAGGGAAACCATCACATCGAACATGTTACCAGTGCGGTGATATAAACAAGGGTACATTCTGCACTATTGGGCAGATTATCATGCCATCCTCCTCTCCGTGTCCAGCAGACAAGGCGTTCTGTATGACCGACCTGTTTCATCATATCGATGGCTCCACAAAGTACATCAGAAGGTGAGAACCCCGTATGTTCTTCTGGTCGGAATTTGGCCATTCGTCGTATGAAACTGCGTCAAGGTAAACGTCAAGCTAAATCACGAAATGAAAGAGTCTTGTCGACTGGTGATTACTCGGGGGGGGGGGGGGGGGGGGGGGGGGGGGGGGGGGGGGAGGGGGGGAGAGGGGAGGGGGCAAGACGTAGGCATCCCCATGGACACCAATTGACCCATGATTTGGGGCATGATACGCTCACCTTTTCGCGAATCACCCCTATCATCGTCATTTGGTAGTTATTCATAAACATATGCTCATGATATAGTGGGAATCGAACAATCATCTCCGTGTTTGGCGGAGTGTTCATATGATAGGAATATACCGATCTACTTTGAACTACTTAAAAGATCAGGTGGTCAGTCTCTGTAACATGGTTGATGGCCTGTCTTCGTATCGGATCGATGCTCGTGGTATCAATTATTTACAGATATCTGGAATCAAAGAGCCAGAATATTGGTGAGTGTGGCGTTAAACAAACAAACTGTATATGACAGCAATTATACCAATTATACCCCATATCCCAACTTCTTTATGGGTTCTTCCAACATGTCTTGTCGACTGGTGATTACTCGGCAGGTGGATTTAGGTCACTGGTAGATAAGGCTATCTCACTGCAAAATGTGCAACAAAACTGTTTCATTTGTAACTAGGTTGGTTGGTTGGTTGGTTGGTTTGTTGTTTAACGCCCTACTCAGCAATATTCCAGCTATATGACGGCGGTCTGTAAATAATCGAGCCTGGACTAGACAATCCAGTGATTAATATCATGAGCATCGATCCACCCAAATGGGATCGATGACATGCATCAACCAAGTCAGCGAGCCTGACCACCCTATCCCGTTAGTCGCCTTTTACGGCAATCATGAGTTGCTGAAGACCTATTCTACCCCGGATCTTCACGGGTATTGTAACTAGGACGTGTACTCATTCTTTTTCCGCCAGAGTTTTGAATTCATCCCATATACTACTTTAAAAGGCACTTTACAAAACCGTTAGAAACAGAAACATTATACAGTTGTTTGATTTAACAACTGTGTGTCTTATTCTGTGTAGGTGTGTCGCCCAGGTGATGTGTCTCAGACAGTGGTACCAACAAACATCGGACAAGAGCGAGTGTGTAGATGTTGACCCCACTACAATTTCCACAGACATCACCTGCAGGTACTGCTGCACCACCGACGACTGCAACAGCGGCAACATGCCTGTCAGAAACACCCTGTACAAACCAAAACATTGAGGTTTATGTTCCAGAGAAGATATCTACAGCCACTACAAATATTCATCGATAACCCTTTATTAGTATCTTAAAGCATGGTCACGTTTCTGAAATGTTTGATATTGCATCCGGGCAGTGACAGACAATAAATGCCGCAGCGCCACCAGAATGGCGACTGGATTTTGTTTGGGTCGAAACTACAGGTTAGGTTTTGGTGATTGTTGTTGTCTGGTAAAGTTCAAACAATGGGGGCATTCCACATTAGTTTTAATTGTTTCTTTGTTGTTTAACGCAATACTCCGCAATATTCCAGCTGTATGACGGCGGTCTGTAAATAATCGAGTCTGGACCAGACTATCCAGTGATTGATATCATGAGCATCGATCCACGCAATTGGGATTCAATGACATGCCTCAACCAAGTAAGCGAACCTGATCATGACCACCCGATCCCGAAGGTCGCTTTTACGACAAGCATAGTCGCTTTTTACGGCACCTAAGACCTATTCTATTCTGTTCAGGCCCTTGCCATGCCTCTAATTTGACTTTGAGTTGACAACTGCACTTCGACCATACTAAAAGCTGAAACGTCTAATGGCCATTAAGCAGCACGTAATGTTCAAAATATCATGAAATTTGGTTTATGTATAGTATGATAGTGTAGTTGGGCTCAACATATATAAATATATATAGGTGAGGTGAGGTGAAATTGGGTTTAACGTCGCGTCCAAGATTATTGCACTTATATAGCGACGTGCATGCACGTGTGTGTGTGTGTGTATGTGTGTGTGTGTGTGTGTGTGTGTGTGTGTGTGTGTGTTTGTGTGGCTGCTTGTACTTGTCCGGACTGATGCCGATTTATAGTGCTAGTTCACTGAGAGACCATGCCGCAGTTTAACATGAATACCCCACTCAGACACAGTATACTGACTCCGAGCCGACCAGTCCTTGTTTTAGCCCCTTTATGCCAGACAGGGTAACAATAAGTACCATCTTTTAACGTCTTTTCGTATGACACGGCCGGGGATCGAACCCCGGACCTTCCGCTCCCCGGGCGGACGCTCTACCACAAGACCACGGAGGCGGCCTTGAATATATATACATATATGTATTTATTTATTTAGTCCAGAAGGTGTAAAGATATTTATAGGATAGTGCATTTCTGACACTCAGTTCTTGCCCGGAATATCCAAGGGGGCGATGTATACCTCGAATCACAATTCTGCAACAAACAAAACACTTTGCCACAATTCTGCCCTTTCTTTTTTCTCTCTCGCTTATTCTTGTTGCCATATATGCGATGTATCCCCTTGTGGGGATTCCGCGTTAGAATTGGTCCCCAGAAATCTATATCAATAAATGCTTTTGTAAATTTTGACATCCATGGTCGCTAAAATGGATATTGGTTAGTTAAAATGGCTGCTGGTATGAAGAGTGTACAGTGAGTTACTACCAGGTAAGACTAAATGCAACTGCTGGATTAAGAATGGCTTCCTCACTCTGTGTCAAACGAAGAGGGATTCCACATTAGAATTGGTCGCTAGCAACATATGTTCGCCCGTGAGAAGAGATGGAAGATTGCTGTGTTTGGATGGAATATTGAGCTTGTTCCATGTGGAGGTCCTGTGTAGGCGACTAAATGATCGGGTTTGTCAGGCTGCCTGATTTGTCTGGTTGCCTGACATCGTATTATGGCAGCGTGGGACCTCATGACGTCATCAGCGATTTGTCTGGTCCAGACGCGAATATTTACAGGCCGCCACTAATGCTACGCCTCCGTTGAACGGAAAATAATCATACACAAATGGGGATGCAAGATTCAGCGGTATTGAAGGCTATCTTCATCTTCTTGTCACGTGGGATACTTGAGTGAATACCAGAAGGCTTTGGCGTTTGAATACCCACCAATAGGAGGAGATAGAGACGACACAATATGTGATAATTCGCGGTAAGAATACAGGTTCCCAGCAACCAATGCGTGTCGTAAGAGGCAACTAAAGAGATCAGGTGTTCACGCTCAGTGACTTGGTTCAATGCATGTCATCGAATACCAATTGCATGGAACGATGCTGATGATGTCAAGTACTGGATTGTCCCGTCCAGGGCCCACTTGCACAAAGCGATTTTAGCGCTAAGACTATTGTAAGCCTATGTTAAAGTATGGGAGTTACGATCATCTTAGCGCTAAGATAGCTTTGTGCAAGTGGGTCCTGTTCGATATTGCTGGAATATAGATGGGCGTAGCGTCTAACAACGAACGAACAAACAAACCAAACACTTCTGAAATAAAACTATGGAACCGCTGGCAAAAGGGTCAGGGTATTGGGTGGGGTATGAGTATGCCGATATAATACACTAGATATTCAGGGATGGATGCCTTGATGTTCTCGTCCCAAGGGTCACAGAAAACCAAGGCCAGAGTTATTTGTATAAAAGATTTAATTCACTTCTCAATAAAAACCGTGGGAAATACAAGCTGTGGCGGCACTGTCAAGTTCTGACAGGACAAAGTTCAAAGTTCAAAGTGTGAGGATGCTGGGATACTTGGTGACTAGTTAAGGTAAAAATAATCCCGAGTGATTTCATATTCACAATAATGACAATGAAACATGACCTGGACAATTAACACAAATGTACTCTGTGGTGATAATACATGTTCATGAATAACTTCATATTCAGTGTAAAACAGGGGCAAAAACATCAGTCAGAACATGTATACATTAGATAATAAATATTCAGTATAGATCACATACGATCACTGGTCAGTCACCAGCTGATATCCAGGGGTGAAGATCCTGGACATGTCTCCTTAGGTTTTACCGTTTGGCACGGTGAATATCCTGATAAATATGACAAAAGAATCTAGCAAGCAACAGTCTGCCTACAAGCATAGATCACCCACCTCATTCTATTTGTGTTCATTTCATGGTCAAGGTAAATAATCTCATTCTGTTTGTGTTTCATTTCATGGTCAAGATAAACCAAGAAAGTAGATGTCACATTTAAATTCTCTTGACTTTTAGTTTTAACTGAGTTTACGCCCATAAGACACGTCTTTGTTCGTTTAACTAAATTACATACTTGTCATAAAAACAGTTATATTCAATTGTTTGACTGACCTTTAAACATTACACTCAAAAGCAGTTAAATATCACCCCATGTTTTGACATGGCTTTACTTAATCTGTCATGGCTGGTGGATATTACAACACACAGCCTTCCAATTGTGGGTGTTCTTTAACTTGTTTTGAGAATTATAGTTTGTTTCCGATATAATTTAACTGAAAAACATATCTTATATAATTAAGTGAATTTAAGTATTGTAACTGGCATATATTTTTGGAAAGCGTGTGAAATTTATATTTTCAATTTTCAACATGTTGTACAGAACTATAAGAACAAAAACGATAATTCAAATACACCTTATTAAAACTTGATTACCATGTCTATTGCCTTCTAAAACATGACGATATGTATGAACAACGAAGACATCAAAATATCACAGATATGCAACATTCATGACACTGTGTTGTACTAGGGGTCAACGGGGGTGGACATATACATCACTGAAGTGAGTGAGTGAGTGAGTTGGGGTTAACGCCGCTTGGAATTGTATTTCAGTTATATCAATGTGTGTTAACTGGAAAGCCCTAGAAGTTTCAGGTCTTTGACGTTTACCACTTTGGTGAAACCATGGACATGGTGCTGACAAAGCATAAAATATAATCAGAGCGAATCTGAGATTCAAGCCACTATCGAGGTTTCATAGGTTTCATACACGCCTAATGAACTCTGCACAGCAAATTGCGACTGGACCACCCGTGCCTCGACAATGTGACGTTATAAAGTGAAAAGATTCTCATTCACCCGAAGGCAGGATAGTGTTAGAAATTTCAATTACGGGGAAAAGTATTCGCATTGCACATCTGTGATTTCACATCTAACTATGTTAGATTAAGACCAACACCTGTCCATGGGAAACCCACCAGAACCTTTATGTCTGCTACATATTAATCTTATTACAATCAGATCATTTAATCTACGATTCCTCTAAGCATTAAGATCTGATGACACCTCAATAGGACCTCGGGTGGTAAGGTGACCTTTCTTATTAACTATTCCGCGTCGATACGTCTAAACTTTCGGTACGAATGAGCGAAACGTTCAACCCAGCTTTTCTGATTTCTTTATCTTAAAAACTACAAAAACAGCTCTCGAAATTAGTAAGTATAGCAGTGCCATTATATTGTGGATCGTTCATAGATCATGTAGTTTCTGAGGGCTGTAGCGTCTATACTCTAAACGGGGTACCAACGATGGAATACTTGTAATCTGTATAAGTTTTCATTTGTAAAAAAACAAAATTCCGAATTGGGATGGTACAAAATGAAACAGAAACGTTTTAAAAAGCTTGCAACTGACGACGGTCATAGTTTAGCTGACGCGACCTTCTACGGAGATGTCCACAGAGGTATCTTAGAGTAAGAGATCTGATGTTAATGATATTGGCTACATATATGCCTATGGAAAAACACATAAAGGGTCGCAAGAGAGAGACTTTCGTTCATATAGTGTTCATCATATAGCGCGCGTCAAAGACAGAGACTGACTCCAGAATATATCAGGCACGTTATACTGCACGCAAACGATGCCTACTGCCAGTAATTGGTGAGAATTAATGTTCAAATTCATTCTCTACATCAGCTCATGTGGTCATGTGAGTATTAATGTATGTTAAGCCAGAATAAAATACACAACTGCGACTATACACAGACCTAATGGATTAATCTGACACCGTCAAATACACTGGAATAACATGATGGAATGACGACATTGCTTGTGGAAAACACGTATGTATGTACACATAAATGGTAATAAATAGTAAATATATAGAAATATGATATGATCGTACATTACCAAAAATAAACTTTCTGTACTCCATTATCTAACATTTTTCAAGGTGTCTTAACATCAGATATATTTCAGTGCCCAACCCATACACCAATTCAGGCACTTCAATTACGAGCAACAATTAACTGCAAATATAATGTTGTCTAAATAATTCCTAAATGCCAGGTCGCTGGACTGTAATTCAGAAATGATCTCATTGAACGGAGTGATCTCCAGTTGGCCAGATCCAATTCAAGCACTAGTTGTATAACATTCTTCACAGACATGTTTCTTTAGGCAGTTGGAAAA